CATTAACATATCACAGATGATCGCTTGTGTGGGACAGCAAGCCATCAGTGGCTCCCGGGCTCCAGATGTCTTTGAAAACAGACCTTTGCCTCACTTCGAGATACATTCTACGGTAAATGGCAGTGGAAGTTTAAAGGTCTGTTTGTCTGGATCATCCTCTGAGGAGCAGAGATTTTTCAGGATCTAAATCCACTGGTTATTTTCACTTGGCATGTACCTACAATGTGCTGCTGTGGCAGTGAGTTGCTCTTCAAGTCAGTCTTGACCCATCTGAAGTGCCTGTTCAGTGACTGCTGGTGTGTCAGAGTTTCCCCTTCCTCACTAGAGTCTATTTCACATTTTCAGTACCTCAGCTATTGGAGGTTCTGGTATGGAGGCAGGTGGGACCGCCAGTAAAGAGTAGCAGTTAAAGTTGACATTGTTGGGCCACAAGCTTGATTCCACTTTGGGTCCTGTCTGTCTCCCTGTGGAAGTGAGACACAATGAAAATGTCTTGAAGACAATGACTTGCTAGGGAACAGGCTGGGTGATCCCTGAGGTCCTTGACACTTCTGGGTGGCAGTTTTTATATACATTCCTCTTCCTAGCCATTTACCTGCACGGGCACTCTAACAAAGATGGTGTGTCTAAATTACTTCCTCTATCAACAAGTCTGGAATCACTGCCTGGGTATGTGTGCAGCCACCTGGGGTCATTTTCTTATGTGGATAGATTTTAGAATTTTGGACCATGAACCTTGTTTGATATTCTTTTTTCCTACGTCTCTTTAGCTTCCTGCTGTCAAAGGCTTTGTGGGCAATAGGCCTTGCCTTATGGTTTAACCTTTACCAAGGCCCCTGGCTCTGATAAGTCACTCATGAAAAGATGGCTGAGCAATTACTGTAAAAGGTTGCGACTTGTAGCACTTGACTTGCATTTTCAAATTCTTTTTTTTTTTTACTTTCCTTGTTTTTTAAAATATTTATTTATTTTGTTTACATTGTTCTGTCTGCGTGTATGCCTGCAGGCCAGAAGAGGGCACCAGATTTCATTACAGGTGGTTGTGAGTCACCATGTGGTTGCTGGGAATTGAACTCAGGATCTCTGGAAGAACAATCAGTGTTCTTAACCTCTGAGCCATCTCTCCAGCCTCCTTCCTTGTTTTTTTAATGATTATTTTATGCAAATGGGTGTTTTTCATGCAGGTGTGTTTGGGCATCACAAGTATTACTGATTAGTGAAAAGGCCGGAAGAGTGTGTGTGTTTGATCCTTCATATTGTTGCTGGGAACCGAATTTTGGTCCTCTACAATAACAGCCAGTGCTCTTGACTGCTGATAAAAGTCTCTCAAACCCACTTTTGTTTATTTTTGGAGACAGTGTCTTACCATGTAGCTCTGAATGTCCTGGAACTCAGTCTGTAGTGCAAGCTAGCCTCATGTTCACAGCCATCTACCTCCCTCTGCCTTTCAGGTCCTGGGATTTAAGGCATGGGTCATCACATCCTACTTGTGACTTGCATGTTTAAAGTGATTAATGTACAGCAGGACCTGTGCAGCATTAAGGATGAGCACTACACAACAAATCAAACCTCACATTGTCTCCCTAGGGAGACAGACAGCTAGCAAAATAAAAACACACCCAGCTTAGTTGGAAGTTCAAGTTTCAGGAAGGCTAAAGATGGCCAGATTAGTTGCAGCCCACAATGACGTGAGGGTTGGAAGGCCAGTGAATTGTCAAACTCATGTTCATGTTCCTTCCAGAAAGGGAGAGGGGAGAGGTGTGAGTTGGGAATTTACAAAGACTTGATAAAGAGCAGTGATGAGCGTTATGTGTTTTGCTAAAGCATGCATATGGACTTCCATCTCTGAATGACTCCCAGGGCAAGCAGAGGGGTAATGAGAACTTGAGACTCAGATATTCTGGATTTCCTACATGTTGGATTTTCTACAGCAGACAGAATCCTCCATTGTTATTCAGCACAGCCAAGGCCATAAACATACATGCTGGACCTGGGGTCATGGAAGCCTTAGGTATAATTCAGGGGAAGCTCCAATATCTTAAAAGCAAGCACAGTTCACAAACTTTTTGACTTTTCCTGGAGGGGACATCATAGGTTCCTGGATCACTGGAGTCTTACTGATAAGATTCTCCATGGTCCTTATGCAGACTTAAGGGGTGCTTACCCCAGAGGTCCTGGTCTGAGGGTCTGGGCTAAGCCCACCTATCAGGATGTCAACAGGTTCCTCTTCTGCAATGTGCATAGTATAGGAATATATCTGCTCTATGCTGTACCAGACCCCTGGTCTGCTCAGAGAAGGGGGAAGTGCGTTATTCAGCAGATGAACTGAGATGAACTGAGGTGAGAGGGCTTCTCTGTGTAACCGTGGCTGTCCCAAACTAGCTCCTTAGGCCTGGCTGACCCTGAACTCCCAGAGATCCTCCCGCTTCTTCTTCCCTAGTGCTGGGACTAGCCTGGTCTCTAAAGGGAATTGCAGGACTGCCAGAGCTGTTACACAGAGAAATCCTGTCTCAAAAAACTGTATATTAATATTTTTTAGCTAGGCCTGGTGGTGCACACTTTCAATCCAAACACTCAATAGGCAGATGTGGGTGAATCTTGATGACTACATAGTCAACCAGATATACAGCCTTTCAATAGGGCAGAACTTAGGTAGGCAGAGTAGACAGAACTGAATGCTGGAAAGAAGGGCAGAGTGGCAGAAGCCATGGATCTCCTACCTGAGATGGACGCTGGTTAGAATCTTGCAGGTAAGCCACAGTCACATGGTGATACACATTAATGGAGATGGGTTAAACTAATATGTGACAGTTAGCCAATAAGAAGTTAGAGCTAATGGGCCAGGCAGTGTTTAAATGAATACAGTTTCGGTGTGATATTTCGGGTGTAAGATAGCCGGGCGGCGGGGCGACAAGCAGCCAGCTCTTCCTGCAACAACTTCTGGCACCCCTCCAGTTATAAAACAATCAACTAGGAGAAACCCTGCCTCAGTGGGGCTGGGGAGACGGCAAAGCAGTCAAGTGCCTCAATACACTCAGATCTGTCACGGCAAAGGCCACTTCAGTTCTCCCTCTCATGTTCCAAACTTGCACGGGCATGCTCTCCACCAGAGGATTTCTCTTCTGCTGCAGGCTCCATGCACTGTGCCTGCTCTGGAGCTCCTTCCCAGCACTGCTTTAGCTGGAGAATTTTGCTATCAAGGCATCTTTGCCCCACGTTCAGGCTCAAAGAGGGTCACCTCAACTCGACATTTCATAGATGTGATTAGTCTACGCCATCGTCCTAGATGAGAGATGGCAGATCTGCTCCAACGCTGACAGTAAGTGATGCTGTGGCCTGGTCCTGAACCCACACAGATCAGTGGAGACACCTGAACTCACCATAGATGCCTGGCATCCAAAGACAATTAGCATGCCTATCTCGTGTACCTGTCCCTACATATTCTCAGTGGCTTCTCTCTGTGGTTGGGGGTGATCCCCATAATTTATACATCACCTAGGGTTTGAAGGACAAAAGCCAAGAGCAGAAGCTGGTGAAATGTCTCATAGTACAATAGCTTTTGCTGCTCCCTCATTGCAGTGCGCCTTAGAACCATCTGTGAATGGGGATACAGTGCCCTCTTCAGGCCTCTATGGGAACTATGTACTTGTAGGGCAAAACGAGCTCAAGGCCAACAGCCTCTGTTTCCCAATGTGACCTGGAAGGTCATTAATGTGTTGTGTGCTTATCACGGGTGCTGTGTTGTATGAAAAACAGAGGCAGATGGGTCTTGGATTCCTGATTTCTTTTGTATTCCCGTAATGAATGTTTTTATTGCCTGAGAGTCTACAGAGCAATAAAGTTGCATTTCTCAATAATGTGGTCCTTATGGCCAATTCATAAAAGTGTATCTAGAAAGTATCATATTTAGGGTTAGTTAAATACATGACATCGAGAATACAGTATGGATACTGCTTCCACTCTAACGTGTGTTTCTATGGAGTAAGTCATGCTATCAATACCCAAGATAAAAATCTACTGTGTCCCCCTGGCTGGCTGGGAACTCACTATATAGCCCATGCTGTCTGGAACTAGAGGAGATTCATCTGTACCTGTGAGTTCTGGGGTTACAGCTGTGTGACACCACACCTGACTAAATGAGATGGTTTTAAGTGTGAAGACTTGGAAATTGTTTTTTTTAAGGGGGCCATTTTAGGGTTGGCCAGAGACTTGGCTCTCAAGGGGTTCCCAGGTGTCCAAGGGGGATGTCCCCGGCTAAGTCACTGGCCAACAGAGGAGAGGGTGCCTAAACTGGCCTTCTCCCATAGCCATACTGATGAACATCTTGCATATCACCATAGAACCTTTATCTGGCGATGGATGGAGATAGAGACAGAGACCCACACTGGAGCACTGGGCTGAGCTCCCAAGGTCCAGATGAAGAGCAGAAGGAGGGAGAACATGAGCAAGGAAGTCAGGACCATGAGGGGTGCGTCTACCCACTAAGACAGTGAGACTGATCTAATGAGAGCTCACCAAGGCCAAGTGAACTGGGACTGAACATGATTGTGATCAGACCAGACTCTCTGAATGTGGCTGACAATGAGGGCTGATTGAGAAGCCAATGATAATGTCACTGGATTTTGATTCTACTGCATGTATTGGCTTTTTGGGAGCCTAGTCTGTTTGAATGCATACCTTCCTAGACCTGGATGGAGGGGGGAGGGCCTTGGACTTCCCACAGGGCAGGGCACACTGACTTCTCTTAGGACTGGGGAGGGAGGGGGGAGGGGAAGACTGGTAGGGAAATGTCAAGAGGGAAGGAGGTGGAAAATTTTAATACATTAAATTAATTTTTAAAAGAGAATGAAATGAACATAATTTGTTATAACCTGAATAAAGTAGAGACTCACTATTTTGAAGTTCCTGTGAATTTTAGGAAGTTTAATAGCACTTATGTCACTATAGATATTTAGTTTAGAAAATTTATATATTTATCCATAATAATGATCACTAATACATTCTTTGTCTTTTAATTAATTATCAATGTTATGATTTAATGTTGATAAAATTGATGCAATTGGTTATTTGACAATTTATTAAAATTTTAATGCAAGAATATATTTTAAAATAAACTTTTATGATACACAGTTATGATAAAATGTTGAATGATAAAATATTTGAAACATGTATCGAGGAATTAGTCATTAGGGTAGAGAGTAAATACAGGCATAAAGGCTTCATTACGTTCAAGACAAATATTGACATTTACCTTGCTCTTTCTTAATAGTGAACTGCTCTTCAGATTTCTCTTGGAATGGTATTTCTCTTTCTTTGGGGCTATTGTACCAAAGACAATAGAATGGGGTTAAAAGTCCCATTCTGAATCAACTCTGCAAAGCCAGTTTGCCTCTTCTATGACTGTAATATGTCTGCTGCACCAAAAGTTCAAATACAGAAAGCTCTCCACAAGGCTTCCAGTTCAAATATTGTCACTCGTGGTGGGCTGGCCACATAGCACTTAGGAGTTTGTTTTTGATTATTTTCATCTCTGTGAAATAAATTAACTTTGAAATCTCAAAAAGAATACATTTTTCTCAAAGGGGGCTTTAACAGGGTATTCAACATAAACACTAGATAATACTCTTAACAAATTATGAAAATCAATAACAAGAACAGATAACATCAAAGTAACAAAGCCAAAACTGAAACAAGTAGAAACAAAAATGTAGAACAAAACCAAACAAAAATTAAACTAAGTAGCATTCTCTCATAGACATGGTGGTGAGGCTGTCACGGATTGGAACAGCGTTTTCAAGATGTCTGCAGTCATTTCTCTTCTGTTCTATGTCATGTTCCCCCCAAGGCTGAGGCCACCTGATGGTAGATGTAGGATTTGGAGTAACTTTTGTCTCTGGTTTTCTGTACCCCAAGCATGGTTTTGTTGCTTTCTTTCCTTCATGAGAACTTAGTCAACAGACACATGGATCAGATTGGGCATGACCACCTGGAGGGCAGCTGGTATTTCCTTCCCTGGTGAGTTCACAGTTACAAGGGGTGTCTTTTTGTCTGGAGGCCTTGATCCTAATGTGAAGAATGTGATGATTTCAAGGTGTCTGTGACTCCCTTTGGCTTCCTCAGTTCTCTCAGGGGGTGTGATCAAGAAGGAAAGGGAATCAAGACCCAGAAGCAGCCATGCTGGGTCACTGGCTAGACATACTCAAGGCCTATTCCATGATGGAATCCAAATTTGAAGAATAAAATTGATTCCTGGAATTCAGTAGTTGCTGGGGATGGGGCTCAGCGGGTGGCTCTTCCTGTAGCAGCTCCTTCTGCAAGTGGCTCTCTTCCTGGGCTGTGACCTCTTCCACCTTAGGCTGGAGTGTTTTGGACCTGGGAGAGGATACAGTTAAGGCACAGGTCAGGAGGGGACATGCCATGTCATCTGTCTGCTCCTACCTCCCAATACCTCAGGTGTGCTGGAGAACCAACACTGATCTTTGGACTGATAACGTTTTTATATCCGCAGAGAAATAAGATCACAGAGTAGCTGGGCCTAGAACTTTTCTCAGCAATAGACACATGTCATAACTTAAACTGAGCTTGTATGTTGTCCTTTATACTAGAAAAATAAAACGTTCTCCTACAGATCAGAGACATCATTTTGTACATAACAGCAGGGTATAAATACCATAGCCAACAGTGTATGAGCAATACACTTGGTATTGATGAGGAGTTACAGATCAACACATCATCTTATTGATAGCAGTAATACAGCCTAGCCATCTGGGCATCTGAACAAGAGCATGAGGTCAGCTCAGTCCTCATGCCCAGAGGGACCACAAACATGAGCACCATGCAAGACAGAGCCTGCCATGCTAGAGCAGCATTTCCTGTGAGGTGTGCTGAGAAAACTGGCCCTGCCTGGGCTCTGGGACCAAACAGAGACTTGCATTTCCTTAGGACTAGAGCCGGGAATCTGCATCCTGGCTCTCTTTGGGAGTCTGTTACAGCACATTCTGAGAAGGTTATAATCTTGCTGTAGCTGACGTATCTGCCTGAGTTCATCCTGGAAAGCTTTTAACGTATTCTATCCAGAGAATACTTCACACAGGGAGGCTGGAGAGATGGCTCAGAGGTTAAGAGCATTGCCTGCTCTTCCAAAGGTCCTGTGTTCAATTCCCAGCAACCACATGGTGGCTCACAACCATCTGTAATGAGGTCTGGTGCCCTCTTCTGGCCTGCAGGCACACACACAGACAGAATATTGTATACATAATAAATAAATATATAAAAAAAGAATACTTCACACAGGAAAGGGCAAATGTTGCAGAGAGCATTGCTCAAAGGTGGGGATCTCTTCTCTACACGGGATGTTCCTGAATAAAAATGTTATTTCAGCAAGGTGTGGTGGTGTACACCTTTAAATCCCATCTCTGGGGAGGCTGAAGCAGGCAGGTCTCTGTGAGTTCAAGGAAAGTCTGCTGAGAACAGAGAAAGTTCAGGAAGGAGAAAGTGAGACTCAATTCTAATAACACATGAGTATCAAACGTATTTTTTCCTGGATAGAATTTCTTGTTGATGCACCAGCACAATTTTCTTTGGCCTTCTTTCCATGGTTCTAGCTTGGAGCCAAGCAGAAGAGCAGAAACTTATAAAAGACAGAGGTCCAAGGTACAGGGGATCCCCTTGTCTGTACCATGTCCTCCCAGTCTAGAATCCTACCTCATCTGGGAGAACTCAAAGTGATGCCGCAGCTTTTCTGCTAAGCCCTTTTTCTGGGTGTCTGTTTCCTTCTGCTTCAGCAGGAACTGAAGTCTTTCCACCAATCCCTTGAGCTCCTGTTCATTAGAAGATTGTGTTCTCAGTGGAGGGTTACACAGTCTCATACAAATGTAAGCAGATACAGAGGATCCCAGTAGCTTGTTGGTCATCCAGGCAGGAAAAACAGTGAACATCCAGGGAAGTAAGGATTCAAGGCAGAGACTGAATAGAAACACAGTGGTCTCTGCTAGCTAATGAACATGTGTGCCATATGGTTACACTACACACACACACATGCACACACACACAGAGTTAAAGAAAGAGAAACAGAGAGGGAGAAATGGAGTTTGTAGAAACATCATGATGGATGAACAGTTAGACGAACCATACCAGCTCTCACAACTCAGCCATCATTTCTTGGAGACGAGAAGAGTTATGATTTACTTGGCCAGCCTGTGTTGAGCTGGTTAGAGAAATTTTTCCTCTGAAGGCCCAAATCTCCCACCTTCCACAACCAGCTTGTCAAAAGCCCCCAGCAGATCATCCCATCAACCCCAGACTGTAGTCTGCTGGATGGGAGAACTGTCCAGCGCTAATCCCAGACAACAGGGCTGACAGCTGCTGCTCAGGCTCTGTCACTGGGAACTGAGAGCTGGGAAAAGGGAAGAGAACTCACTGGAACACAGGAAGAAAGGAGAAGGTCCCAGGCCACCCTAACCCATGACAGTGAGGGGCTCTCAATGGGCCCTTGCATGGGGATCTCCTCCTTGCAAACTGCTCCCCACCTGTGATCTCACGAGCCCTGCCAAGCAAATGATCGCCAGGACCCAGACCTCACTCACTCCAAGCTCTGTGCATAGAATGCTACCTATCATAGATGCATGTAGGTGTGTGGTATGTTATTGGCCCATCTCCTTCACTGGACTGCAGCTTCAAACAGAGCAGCAGGAATGGTTCTCCTGTTTCAGCCAGCAATTCCAGGCCCTGGGTGACTATTACTGTGCACTTAGACAGAGTAATAACTTAGTTCCTCATAAGAGGCTAACTTCCCAGAAGTACTTGGGCACGGACACGGTAATGAACACCTGGTAGCATGAGGTGGGTGACTATTGGGAGCACGAATGAGTCAGGTGGGGGTGAGGGCACAGGTGGGGGATGGACAGAGAGGCAGTCAGAAGGGCAAAGGGGGCCAGACCTTAGCCTGAATGATTTACCTGCCCCTACTGGTGTGGGAGAATTATCTGTATTCTGTCAATCATATTTTAATAAAACGCTGATTGGCCAGGCAGGCAGTATAGGCGGGAAAGCCAGACAGGAAGTAGGAGTGGAGCAAAGAGACTGGGAGTATTCTGGAAGCAGAAGCTCTCTCAGCCACTCCTGCGCAGACCACCAAAGAGGCAGCATGTAACTTGCCCAGCTGAGAAAAGGTACGGAGCCATTATGGCTAACATAGATGAGAATAATGGGTTAATATAAGTTATAAGAGTTAACAAGAAGCCTGACCTAATGGGCCAATCAGTTTATAACCTTATGGAGTCTTATGTATGATTTTTCTCTTTGGGACTTGCCGGCTTGTTGGGGTACCCGGCGGGACAGAAACCTCAACAAGCCGGCCCTCATGTTACACCCTACCTGTTGTTGCTGGGTGTTGACATCACTGTTCTTTCCTTGGTCCTTACAGAGCACTTTCAAGTCCTCTACGTGCTGCATCAGTAGGACCCAATCATCCCGCAATTTCTTCTTCTCCTGCCTCAGCAGGTTCACCTTCTTCTCCAGGTGAGTATGCTGCATCAGGACCCAGCTATGCACACCCCTGAAGAGACACACTGCATAGTAAGGCCCTGCTAGCGTCCTCCTGCCTCCCCTTCCTCCAGGAACCAGAACCCCAATGTTTCCTGGAAGATGTAGCCCAGAGTCTGACACAGCCTTGACAGCTACACTCAGAAAGCCAAAGTGAGACAGCAGCTAATACCAAAAAACATCAAACTACTGTGGGAAACCCAACACCAAGCAGGATCCATGTCCCTTCAATTGAAGGAGAAGTCCCCCACCTGTTCTTAACGATCCATAGTAATGGGGAAACCTCACCATGTAGTGGGCAAATACCCAAGGGGGGACAGGTGACCAAAGGTGAGCTTCTTCTACCTACAAGTTCCACAGCCACCAGATCTCTCAAGCCTGGGCCTGTTCTCCAGACTCCCAGGCTGCCTAGCATTTCCCTCATGGTGCAAAGCCCTTTTCTATCCAGAGGCTCCAGAGGCTCTAGGACAATGGTGGTACGGCTAACAGTCTCTTTCACACTCTCCAATAATGAGTCCAAGAGACACAAGTCCCAGAGCTGCTTGCTAAGGAGCAGAAAGTCTAGAGGCAGAGGCAGGAAGTCTCCGTGCAGAGAAACAGAAAGGCAGAGATGGCCGTTCCACAACTTTCAGGGTCCAGGACAAGATGCGCCCTTACCGATACAGGACGGTCTCCCTGGTCAGCTCGCTCAGCTGCTCTGAGGCCTCAGTGTTCTCGTCCTCCAGGCGCTGTAGTGCTGACAAGGCCTGTTTGTGCTGCAGCTTCACTTTCTCATTCAGGGGATTGGGCGGGTGGTAGGGCCTAGAACAGAAGGAAAGAATCCCATGAACACAGGCCTCGAGGATCACGGAAACTAAGCTGGATCCAGGTCTACCACAGCCCAGGGGTTGCCACATTCTGGATACTGTGTTCTGGACCTCATGGTGCTTATTTCTTGTTATCCTGACCCTAGGTCAGCAGAGGCCTGGTCCAGATGGAGGGTGTCCTAGCTGCATGAGCTCACACAGTAGGCCTAGAGGGTCAGTTGAGCTTTCTGGGTTACCAGAAGTGTAAAACAGAAGTCTAGCAACACCAGATATTGCAATGAAATCTCTTCTGTTTCAGAACAAGGATTCTAGGCCCTGGGTGACTGTCATTGAGCAGTAAGACAGAGAACAGAACTCTGGGTTTCAGACCCAATAGCCAGACAGCAATATAAACTCCACAAGGGATTCCTAGGTGCCATTACAGTGAGCACATTAGACAATGATAATGCTTAAAGTCGGACCCCGGACCTCTACTGGCATCGCCTAGAAACTGGAGGAAAGAAGTCTTTAGGTCCCAGTACAGATCCCTGCCTGCCATAGTCTGTAGGGACACAAAAACATGCAAAAGTGTGTATGCGCGCACGCGCGCGTGCACACACACACACACACACACAAGACAGAGAGAGAAGGGCAGATATACAGACACAGAGAGGGTGAGAACCCACAATCAGATGCCAAAGCAATGTGTGGCACAGTATTGTCAATGAGTACAGTGCACAAAACTAGAGAGAAACCGTGATGAGCCCCAGGACTCCAGTTACCCTGAGATGGACCAAGTAGGAAAAGGCCCATCCAGCTGCTCCTAGCAGCTTTCAGCACAGTCTCCTGCCAAGCAAAGACTCCCTACAAGCTAAGAGCAGCTAGTATCTCACACAAGCCACCACCTGTCATGTCCTTTGATAATGCATGCTGGGAAATACACATTACTGCCCCAATCCCTTAGCTGTGTGACTCAGAACACAGGCTCTGGTTTTCATTTGCAGGAAGCAGAATTGTTAGAGTCCCCATTTCAGCTTCAGGGCTGCCTCTACTCTGAGAAGAATTTAGGACATGAGGTTAGTCACTCAGGAAGTGTAGCTGCCTAGAACCAAACACCTTTGTTTATTTAATCAGAATTTTATTTTTATTTTATTTAAATAGAATTTATTACACTTTTTAATATACTGATCACATATACCCCTCTCACTTCTCCTCCCTGCTGCCCCCTTTCCCATCTATACTTCCCCCTCCTTCCATTCCTCCTCTGTCTCCATCAGAAACAGGCAGGTCTTCTGTTGACTTGAGCAAAAGATGGTCAAGTTAATGCAGGCTGAGCTCCCTGCCTTGTGTCATATCTAGGCAAGGAAATCCAGCATGGGAGCAGGCTCCCCAAAGGCAGATGAGCTCCAGGGAAGGGTCCTGATCTCACTGATAGGAGCACTACTAAGAGATCAAGCTACGCACTGTCACACACAAGCAGAGGGACTAGTTAGGTCCCATGGAGGCTCTCTGTCTGTTGGTCCAGATCCATGAGCTCCCACAAGCTCAGGTCAGATGACAGTGTGGAGCCCAAGACCTTAAAAGAAAGCAGGGGAGGTGACATTGCTGACAGTGTCATGAAGTCTGGAACTATGGATACCTATCATCCACCTTTCCTTCCGTGATAAAGATCACATGATCTCGCAGCTCATTTCTCTGGCTGGTCATCAGCTGCAGCTCCGTGGTCAGCCTCTCCATTTCCTTCTGCATCCGTTTCTGGGTAAGAGGCTTTCGGTTGGATGATGGCACCGTAGCAGCATCTGTGGGTAGATGGAACACAAGTGAGATTGCATAGCAACAAGGCATAGATGATGGACAGGCCACCTCGTGGCCCAAACACAAATACCATATCTGGAACCTGGTGGGTTCCAGATTGAATATATTGGGCCAGGTTGAGATGCTCCCTCTACGGACCTCAGCTGTCCCATTGCTCTAGAGATGCGGCTCCATAAGCAGCCAGGGCTTTCCTCTGCCTCCCTACACATGCTTCAGGGGAACACAGACACCACCTCTTCAGGCACAGTATTCACAGCAGCCCAGGATGCAACATGGTCTAGAGCCCTGAAGCCTGCGTGGGGTTTCAGAAGCCAGAGAATAATGGCATAAGCACTCGGTTGCTGTGAGGAGCCCAGATCTCCTTCCTGGCCACTCCAGGCCCATGGCTGTGGATTGAAAAGTCATACAAACACAGAATATGGTCAACAGACTCACCAAGTCACCCCACTGACTTCACAGAATATTGAAACTGGCAGTAAGTAGTCAATCTACCCTGGTTCCATGCCTCCAGCAGGTATGTGTCTACACTAGAGAACTGCCTGCCATCCTCAGCTGCTGACATAGAACCCTAGGGGGTCACTGTCAGGGAGAGGTGCTCAGAGGAATTCTGCAGTACAGTCAGAGGACATAATGTCTTGGCCAGAAAACTTTTCTTCCCTTGTGACTAATGTCTGACAGAGGAAGGACCCACAGGAAACTACAGAGGGTGAGAGGCAGTGATGCCTCCCTAAGATGGGGACATGTCAGTCCCTCCCTGCCTCCTGCTGGTCTCCTTCTGTCCACACATATCAACCCAAACCACAGTAAAGGTCACAGCTAAGAGGTCATCCCAGCACAACATCCTTGGCCTGGTCAGCCTCTGGCTTAGGAGATGAGAAAACTAATGTTCTGGAATCCTTGACCTTCAGGAATTATGATAAGCAGGGATGCCCATTTGCTTCTCAGAGGCTCCTGGTCCTCTGTCCCATTACTGGACGGCCCACCTCAAATCCATCTCTTCCAGAAAGCTGCCCATCTCCTTCCCATGACTCACTGTGTTTTCGCCAGAACCATTTATTCCTTCCTGATTTACGCCCAAACTGAGCGTCAGCCTCCTCCTGCTTCTCTCTGTTCTCTTGACGTTCTCCATCCATTCTCCTAATTAGACTCCCCAGTCTTGAGAACATGACTACAGATGTACCCTGTGGGCACCGAGGAATGTCCTAAGGGCAGTTGGTGTTGCTACAACACTGGTGACATCACATGGAATGCCAAGAGCTCTCCGGGATACAGTAGAATTGTCTGGGGGAAGGGACTGCTGATGTCAGGGGGACCTGCATTTCTCACCCTGCTAACTAGCTGTCCTGAACTGACCAGAAGCCTAACTTTCCCATCCAGAAGCCTCTCTGGGAACACAGAGGAGGCCATTCAGCACCTCCTCCTTCCAAACCCAGAGTTCCCTTAGCTTGATTGGAAGGCCATACCTCCCATGTTGAGAACTGAGATTTTCCTTCAAAAGATGCTGAAAATGTCTCATTCTTCAAAATCACTCTGTTCGGGGTTGGAGAGATGGCTCAGTGGTTAAGAGCATTGCCTGCTCTTCCAAAGGTCCTGAGTTCAATTCCCAGCAACCACATGGTGGCTCACAACCATCTGTAATGAGGTCTGGTGCCCTCTTCTGGCCTGCAGGCATACACAGACAGAATATTGTATACATAATAAATAAATAAATAAATATAAAAAAAATAAAATCTTTCAAATGTAAAAAAAAATCACTCTGTTCATCAATATGAGCAAGCAAATCTCACTGAGAGGCTATGTTAAGATGAACATAACTGATGAAAGATCACCTTTCTCAAGAACAACTGTTAGAAAGCTTATTCAGAAAAACCTGCAGAGCTGGTTACAGTGTGGGATTTAGGTTAAGGATACAGTCATGGAAGCCGTGTGCTTAGCTTTAGAAAATTGCCCCGGGATTCCACAGCACATAGGGAATGCTCCCATGAGGGTGCTGGCAAAAGTATGATGATCCCTTAGCAGAGGAAACTGAACTAGGGATTCTACCAAGTGAAAAAGCCTCCAGGCTGAGTGTGGTACTCTCCACTCTGCACAAAAGACATCAGTGCAGGGTTAGCTACAGGCCTCTGTCAGTTTCAGTGCCTATTGAAGGAAAAGAAAGGATAGTGGGAAAATTAAGACAACAGCTGTAGACATTCCTCAGTTGACAGAGTGACTGCCTAGCATGTAGCACGTCCTGGTTTCAATGATTAGTGCTGTCTTCACAGGTCTTGGGGCCCCACTTGTAATCTCAGTCCTTGTGAAGTGGAAACAGGATGATCTAAGCTCAAGGTGAACCTGCAAAGCCAGTGTGAGGACAGCTTGGGAGACATGGGTCTTAATTTCAACAAATAAAAAGGAAATAAACCCTACCTCCAAGGCTTCATCTACCAACTCCTTCTTTCTGTGAGGGTTTTATCGAGATAGGCTTTATGTAACCTGATGCCGCAGGGCGATTGGTAATGAAAAATCCCCAGACTATCTTAATACAAAATATACATCTTTAATAAACAGAAGTAAGACTTACAACAGCTTACACCAGAATTCAAACGATCCGTCCAGGCGCAGGAGCCAGGCGAAAAAGAGAGCTAGCGGAGCTGCTTGCTAGGTTTATAGGCAGGCTTTAGCCTGAGGGCGGCACGTCCCCAAAACAGAATGTGATTGGCTGAACTCCCCTATCATTTCCCCCCTTTTCTAAAATAAGACAGAACCAAACCAAATACAACTATATACAATAGAAGCAAATAATAAATATAAGGTTACAAACAACAAACAATGTTAAGCAAGAAACATATAACAAAAGTTCTGCTAAATAATGTAGATGGTAACTACAACTATCTAATCTTCAACTCCATCAAAGATCTGAGAAGGAAAATAATTTTACTCAAGCAGCCTGGAAGTACAAGCGGGAAACTTCCGAAATGTGCAACGAATGAAAGAGACAACTGAATACTTGGGCAATCACCCAAAATCTCGTATGCAATGTTGAGTTAACCAACTTTGGCTAAGGTCTGATGTAACTGACATGCCATTTTTCAAAGGCAAGAAACCTTTTAGGACTCTCTCACCCTGTCTTGGCAAGATAAGACAATCCTGCTTTTATCCATTTAGGATATTCTGTAATTCTGTCAGTGGTTGAGGTATGGGCTTTTTCTTTGCCCAAAGGCCAGTTCTGCCAGGAAGAAGACAAGCTCCATGTGGAGTGTCTTTGGTGCTCAACGTTCTCTCGGGAGTAGAGCGGTGATGCCAGGAGCGATTGTGTCTCACTACTATAGAACTATGAGTTAGATTAAAGGCCATTTTTCACAGCTCTTTGAAGAGGTTGAAGATTATACTATCTATACTAAGTATGATCTCTATGCATCTAAATAACCTGATTAGCCTAAATATAAATATAATAAACATATATGACTATTGATTTCTATCTATCTAACTTGAAGACTAAGAGAATGAACAACTGTGCAATGAGTGAGGACAATGACTTCCAAATGTAAACAATGTATATCATTACATAAATATCTTAATCAGAGGTAGGAATGTAAATATATGTATATATATTAATACAAATAGAGGTAGAAGCATGCTCACATACAATATTCAATATATCAATGTACAAAAATCAATACCAATACAATTTTCTAAAAACAATAACTCACAAATACCAATATATTATTATCCCATCACCAATCAATCCCCCCCTTTTTTTGATAAACACCCCCGAGTTTATAAAATACCTCCCCCATTCCCTCATCCCTATATCAATTATAACCAACCCCTAAATGATGTCCCTAAACCTAAGGGCAAATTCTACTGGGAGAGGGCATGTGTCCTCTAAAATTGCTTCCAGCTGTCACGGGGGCGACGTTTCTCTTAGGGGGGTCCTGTGAAAATAATTGATGGTAAAATTCCCATATAAACATTTGGTGTGAGAGAGATGTAAATAGTCTCTGAATAAGTTAAGGAGGTCTGGCCAGAGTGTTGTCAAATATTGTGTATCATCCGGAACTGTTTTGTGTAGCTGGTACCAAAAAAAAGGTCTAAAAAATAGTGGTATCAACATTATGACATCATAGTAACCAGATGGAGTTGGTGTTGTGGGGCCCCATCTTCATCCTAGAAGCTTTAAAGATTACTGCAGGAAAATTTATTGTTTGTCATGGGAAAGTTAAACATTATCTTCGAAGACATATACAGACATATATATATATATATATGTATATGTATATATATTAATAAAGATAGAAACAGATGTGGGGAAAGGCAAAGAAAATTTATCAATTATAGTTATTCTGTCCCGTATCTTGGCTCTTGACATGAGACAGAAACTCTGGGATATCTCTTATCAACAGGCTTGGAAATGAAGAGGGACTGAGCCATTGTCCAACTCCAAAACCAGCTCTACATATTTATAAATAAATACACATTAGTACATATTTAAAAAATAGTAATACTTAGCTAAACTATTTGGATTCTTTGTTGATCCTCTTTTGGTCGTAGGCGGTTTCTATATTCAATTATCCAGGGTCCCTTGAATCCTTTGAAAATGAGCCTTCTCCTGTGGAGACAAGAAGAGAACCCTGCCCCCAACCTTTATATTTCTCTTACCTTTGGTGTGATTATTATCCTTGTAAGTGAATTATCATTTATCTCTTCCAAGAGGCTTCTCCTCTTCAAACCGAACCTTTATTAATTTTGATGGTATCCACAATCTTTCCTCTCCTGTGGAAACAAGAGCAAAACCAGCACATCTCCTGGCTTCCACTGTGAGGTCAGCACATCCTTGAAATAAATTGGTTGATTTAATTCAGCAGACTTTTCCAATATCCAATGTCTTTCTGCAGCCGTTGTCCCCTTCTCATTAGCATTGAGAAAATTCAAGGTTAATAAAGCATTATGTAACCTATTCCTGGGGGTATTTTCCACCCCTTTCTGTTTGTTCAACATATCTTTTATAGTTCGATTTGATCTTTCTATAATTGCCTGACCTGTAGGATTGTATGGTATACCTGTAACATGCTTAATATTAATAAGCAAAAAATCGTATCATTTTCCTAGAAACATAAGCTGGACCATTATGCGTCTTTATCTGTGTAGGTATACCCATGATGGCCATAACTTCTAATAAAGGAGTGATTACTGAATCAGCTTTCTCTGAGCTTAAAGCAGTTGCCCATTGGAAACCTGAGTATGTGTCAATGGTGTGATGTACATATTTTAATTTACCAAATTCTGGAAAGTGAAACACATCCATCTGCCAAATTTCATTCCTTTTAATACCCTTTGGATTAGTCCCTGCAGGCAATGGTGTTTGGTTATAAAAAGAGCAAGTAGGGCATTTCTTTACAATCTCCTTAGTTTGTTGCCATGTAATAGAAAACTCTTTTTTCAAGCCTTTGCTATTGACATGATGCTTTTTATGAAATTCAGATGCCTGCAGCACACTACCAATCAATAAGTGATCAATATCTGCATTATCTTGTGCTAGAGGACCTGGCAGACCTGTATGGGATCAGATGTGTGTTATATACATAGGGCAAAGTCTGTTCCTGATCATGTCTTGTACCTGGATAAACAATGAGGTCAGTTCTGTATCATCAGGTATAAATTCAGCAGTTTCAATATGCAAGATAACTCTCTCTGCATATTGTGAATCAGTAATTATATTAAGAGGTTCTTTAAAATCCCTAAGCACCATAAAAATGGCATATAATTCTGCCTTCTGGAAAGAATCATAAGGACTTTGTTCCACTTTACTCAATTCTTCTGATTTGTAACCTGCTTTCCCTGATTTATTAGCATCAGTATAAAATGTATGGGCTCCGGTTATTGGAGCATCACGGACAATTCGAGGAAGGATCCAAGAAGTTCTCTTTATAAAATTAAGTCTCTTGCTTTTTGGGTAATTGTTATTGATTTCTCCCAAAAAATTAGCACAAGCTCTTTGCCATGGTTCATTGTCATCCTACAACTTTTTTATCTCATCAGCAGTGAAAGGCACTATAATTTTTGCTGGGTCTATACCTGCTAATTGACGAAGTCTCAATTTTCCTTTTATAATCAATTCAGAGACTTTTTCCACATAAATTTTTAATTTTTTACTTGGTTTGTGTGGCAAAAAGATCCATTCCAAGATGATATCGTCTCTTTGCATCAAAATTCTTGTAGGAGAAATTCTGGAAGGCAATATAGCGAGAATACAACTAAGCTTTGGATTTACCCTGTCCACATGAGCCTCCTGTAATTTTTCTTCAACCATTGTCAGTTCTTTTTCTGCTTCAGCTGTTAATTCTCTGGGACTGTTTAAGTCTTTATCACCATCCAAGGTTTTGTTTAAATGAATTATTAGATCAGGTGTTATCCCAACAGCCAGTCGTAGGCTGGAGATGTCTCCTAATAATCTTTGAAAGTCATTAAGAGTTCGTAACCGGTCTCTCCTGATTTGTGCCTTTTGAGTCTTAATTCTTTGTAAACCTATTTTATAACCTAAATAATTAACAGAATCTCCTCTCTGAATTTTTTCAGGAGCAATTTGCAATCCCCATTTAGGTAACACTATTTTTACTTCTTCAAACAGCCTTTCTAAGGTATCTTTGTTTTGATCAGAGATCAGGATATCATCCATATAGTGGAATATTATGGACTTAGGAAATTGTTTGAGTATAATTTTTAATGGTTGGCTTACAAAATATTGGCACAGGGTGGGAGAGTTTAACATTCCCTGTGGGAGGACGGTCCACTAGTACCTCCTTGCAGGCTGAGAGTTATTATAAGTAGGCACTGTGAAGGCAAACTTTTCTCTATCTTTTTCTTGTAAAGGTATAGTGAAGAAACAATCTTTCAGGTCAATAACTATAAGAGGCCATCCCTTTGGTAACAGGGAGGGAAGAGGAATTCCAGATTGCAGAGGGCCCATTGGTTGAATAACCTTGTTGATAGCTCTAAGATCTGTCACCATTCTCCATTTACCAGATTTTTTCTTAACAACAAATACAGGAGAAATCCAAGGGCTGGTAGATTCTTCTATATGTCGAGCATCTAATTGCTCTTGTACCAGCTGTTCTAAAGCCTGTAACTTTTCCTCAGCTAAAGGCCACTGTTTAGTCCATACTGGTTTCTCAGTCAACCATTTTAGAGGCATGGCTGTTGGTACCTCTGAAGGGCCATCAATTGTGTTGTGTTCTTGTATAGTTCTAATGGCTGGTTTCCGTCATCTGTAATATCTTGTAATATTTTCCTCAGGAATATAGGCTCTAGAAGCAGCAGGAATGTTAATTTGGGTATTCCATTGCTGCAATAGGTCATGGCCCCATAAATTCACTGCAATATTGGCTACATATGGCCTTAGTTTTCCTATTTGTCCATCTGGACCTATACAATTGACCCATCTCGTGCTTTGTCTTACTCGAGATAGAGTTCCAATTCCTAGGAACTGAATATCTATCTCCTGAAGAGGCCAATGCGGATGCCAAGATTCTGGAGTAATGATACTTACATCCGCACCTGTGTCCAGTAAGCCAGTAATAAATTTGCCATTTAGACACACTCTTAGCTTTGGTCTTTGTTCATTTATAGAAATCTGCCAGAATATACGTTTACTTTGTCCTCTTAGATTTCTTGATTCATTCACCACATTTAACTCATCCTTCAGGCCGTTATTGCTTTTAACAGCAGGCATGGGGCATTCTAATTTCCCTGAAGAGGCATGTTCTCTGCAGTGATTGGAAATGACTGGACCACATTTACCATGGGGGCCTTCGAGAGGCCCCCTATTGAGTTTCCCAATGGCAACGGGTTGCCCTGTTTATCTCTACACTCATTAGTTTAATGCCTGCCCTTTCCACATCTCCTACATAAACCTGAAGGCTGAGTCCTCCTATTCCTGTTATTCCTAGAAGAGGCATTATTCCTGGAATTCCATTGTCTGCAGTCCCTTTTCATGTGTCCCATTTTGCCACAATGAAAGCATTTTGTAATCTGATGTCTCCTTTTACCTTTGGAAATTGCTTCTTGCACCCATGTTTCATTGCCATAATCAAATGTATCAACATTCATTGTATGTAATACCCATTCATCCAAAGGTGCTGATCTGATCTTTAAAGGCCCCAGGATCCTTTTGCATTCTACGTTGGCATCCTCATAAGCCAAAGACTCAATTACTATATTTCTTGCTTCTGGATCAGGTATCCCTATTTGTACAGCCTTAGTTAGTCTTTGTAAAAAGGCACTAAAGGGTTCTCTCTGACCCTGTTTTACCCTGATATATGATTCTACTCTCTGACCTGAGTCTTGAACCCTGTCCCAGGCCCTTAGAGCTGCTGTGGCACATATGGATAAAATGTTTTCATCATAAAGAGCTTGTTCCTGAGGATCAGAGTAAAGTCCTTCACCTAGAATTTGATCTAGAGAAACCTCAATTCCTTTTGCTGATTCTTGTTGTAAAAGTCTGGCCTCTTGCTTGAATAGGCATTTGAAATGCCATAAAGCTCCGTTCTCAAGGACAGCTGACGTGAGCTGGTTCCAATCTTGAGGGGTAGCCCTGCTGCTGAGAGCCCAGGATTTTAACATCTAACAAAGGATGAATGTAGTCCATAATTCACAATTGCTTAAATTCTTTCAGATCATTCACACGTATAGGCTCCCATGTACGTTCTTTAATGACCTTAGGGTTTTTGGAGCCAGTTATCTTTTCTGATGTTATTACTGGAAAGGCAGGTATAACTCTGTGTAGACTCAGAGTTTTCGGAGGTAAATGTTGCCATTCTACCTTTTGCTCCTATTCATCAGAGTCTATGATTTCCTCAATCTTATTAAATCTGCTCACCATTGCCTTCTGTAAATCCTGAATCTCCTGTCCAGTATTATGCTCCAAAGCCTTCATTAACAATTCTAAGGCTTGGAGCTTGTCTGTCAGAGACACCATTTCCTCCCTGGACACTATTGCCTTCATTGATAATTCTAAGGCATGGAGCTTGTCCGTTAGAGATACCATATCCTCCTTGGACATAATCCTCATGGCATGTACTGTGCCTTCTTGTATGGAAATCCTGTCAATTAATCTATCATACCCTTTTGATAAAGTCCAATTTTCACATTCAATGGTTTTAATCCTCTCAGCTAATGTTTCAGCACTTACAGTCACGGACTGGAGGTTACTAGTCATTTTGGTTGTCCCCTCCTTGAGAGCTCCAAACTCTGATCTAGTCTCTTCCTTGAAAATTCCAAACTCTTTTTTGAGGAAGTTGGTGTCAGTCTGAATTGTCCTTAAGGTTTTAATCTCTGCCCTCAGCATTGCTGATTCAATCTTGAAGGACTACATCATCCTTATAAAATATCCAAACACCAGAAAAGTGACAAGTCCCAGAAATAACCAAGTAAGAGGAATATCAGAAACCTCATGGAGGATATCCTCCATGGCGCAATTAAAAAGGCCATTGAATTTTTGGACAGTAATATTTTCTGACATGTTCAATCAAAAGAAATTGTATTTATTAATTTGTTTTCAACTGAAAAGAAAAATCTTACCTGTAATGACCCTTGCCTGCCAGTAAGTGGCGGGGGTGCACCTGAATCCACATGGCAATGGTGCCAACCCAGAAAGATTCTGAAATATATATATATATATATATACACTCAAATCCAGAGGTTACTTTCAGGCTAGCAGTGCAAGTCAAACTCAGCCGGGGCTGCAGGGAAAACACTGCCCGAGTGGGGGTAGAGTTGCCACTTGCCCGAGTTCCGCGGTGTTTGCAGAAGCCGGAAAGTCCCAGGCCCGATTCTATTGAATGGAGCTGGGATCCAGTGCAGGCTTTACTGTAAAGGCCGCCAGGTGCTGTGTGCGCTCAGGCTGCTAGGCCCGTGACGCGAGGAGGGATAAAGGGCCCACGTTCGGGTGCCAAATGGCGATTGGTAATGAAAAATCCCCAGACTATCTTAATACAAAATATACAGCTTTAATAAACAGAAGTAAGACTTACAACAGCTTACACCAGAATTCAAACGATCCGTCCAGGCGCAGAAGCCAGGCGAAAAAGAGAGCTAGCGGAGCTGCTTGCTAGGTTTATAGGCAGGCTTTAGCCTGAGGGCGGCACGCCCCCAAAACAGAATGTGATTGGCTGAACTCCCCTATCTGTAACCCATAATCTCTAATTCACATTCTCTAACTACAGGATCCTGAGTGCTGGGCTCCCAGGTGTGTCCTAATCCCCAGGAAGTCAATTCCTTTTCTGTCTTCCTGAGTTTTAGAGAGGTGAGAAGGGACTTCTCACTGTACCCACCTAGAAAATAAATTGAGGCCTCAATAGAACCATGACCTCTAGAGGGCTCAGCATCTCAAACTGTGAGCTGTGTCTGTGCTCACAGGTCAGGGTGGTCCTGGAGTCATCTTGTCACATTCTCTGCTCATGCAGATTGAGAGCATGCTGGGTGAGGATGGAGAGAGACAGACTGTACAATAGAGTGAGAAGTTCTCCTTCACATGAGTATTTACATGTGTAGGCCTCACCTACCAATACTTTCTACTGAAAAGAACTAACCATTCTCCCTATCATCTTGGGGCGACGGAGGGGAAGATGAAGTGATCCAATAATCTAAGGACCTTGCTCTTGCTTTTCCTTAGGTCCACATAGAGACAAAATCAAAGTGGGTGTGACCATCTGAACTACTGAGTAATCTCCAATGCTGCTACCTTAGTACTGTGCCTATGACAAACTCTGCCTTGCCCTCAGTGATGCTGCCTCAGTAGCAAGTATCAGGGTCTGAGGTCCAACCCCACTGGTTCCTTCAGGGGGCTAGACAGAAGCCATCGAGATAATCCTCCTCCTTTGCCAGAGGTGAAATCAAACTGACCCATTCCAAACCTGGTTGGCTATGAAATCACAGATGATATTCTCACACCCTTCACTCAGAGTTCAGTTTAGGGTAGAGTTCAGGCACTTACATTTCTGATGAGTACCTTGGTATCCAGCCCAAGGCCCAGATTTGTTACAGGACTGGGTGTAGACAAGCAATGTGTTGCTGTCACTAGGAGGTACTCTGCCCATAAGAGACTTTAGAGGAATCACCCCTTCTTCCTCAGGTCTGTTAATGACGTTGGACAGTCTTTACCTGAGAGTCACAGGCTACAGAGCCCTTTAAAAATGACTCACAGTGCTAGGAAACCTGAAGTTTCTATTTCCTTTGCTTTTCAGGCAAAAGAAAGTTAAATTCAAACAGACTGTGCCCAGTCAGGAACTAGTCACCCCATCCTGGACCTCATATCCTAGCTGCTTTTCCAGGAATGCTTTGAAGCGGGTTTTCTTGGTTCAACAGTTCCCGGTTTTAAAGTAAAATAACAACAAACACTGTGTATTTCTCTCAGACAGGACAAATAAATAACAGTAATGTATTTACATGAGTACATCAGTGTAAAATCCAGCCAAAGAAGGGGAAATCAGGAGTGTGCCCTGGCCTCTGTGGGCCCAGACCTAGCTCACAGGCAGGAGTGGGCACATGTTAGGGTCCTCTGCAGGGACAGAGTGAGGTGAAATAGGCACTGAGCAGGCTGAGTAGTCATCCTGAGCCCCCACAAGTCAGGTTACAAGTAGACTCCCAGTTCCCCATCTGAGTTCCTGGTGAGGCCATGGTGTTTGTCTGGCCCTGTGCACCATTTAAGTAAGGTCATGCAGGCATCTGTTCAAGGGATACAAACTTCTTCCATTCAGCAACAGACAGGACAAGGAGCCAAGGTCAGGAGTGGTGACCTCTTGCCATAAACTATGTGACAAGAGGGATGTGGAATTCATTTGTGTCGAAGATCAGGGGCCTCATGGGTGGTTTTGGGTCCCTGTTGGCCTTGTGCAACAGCTTAAAGAGCCCAGTTCCGATGTTCATTGGGATTCCCATGATGATGCACTCAGACACACCTGGAACCAAGCAGAATCGAGGTTACAGAGTGGAGGGCACATTACACAGGATTGCAGTCTGGGGACCCGAGAACCAGCTCTATCACACATCACCTGACTGAACTTGGCTCACCACTTTCCTTCCCACATGCATATGCCAAGGAGCACTGTCTCTGGAACCCCAGTGCCTGCCTCAGCCTGCTCACTTTAACAGGAGCCAAACAGGGGGAGGGAGACAGCCTTTGGGGAACTGCTTATGCAGGAGGAATCCTGCAGATGCTCAGGAGATGCGTGTGCTACCTTCCTTCCTTAGCTCCGTGCCCAGAAGAAGATTTGTTTTCTATAAGCCATAGGTCTTAGCTCCATGACAATGCAGCTCAAAGTGCAGGCCCAGGGGTAGCAGTGCCCTCGTCAGAACACTTGGAAGGCAAATTCACAAACTTCCAGAAGGGACCGGAATTTCCTCCTCTCCTGTTTCCACTTCAAGACTGCCTGTTTTTTTTTTTTTTTTTTTTTTTTTTTTTTTTTTTTTTTTTTTTTTTTGTGTGTGTGTGTGTGTGTGTGTGTGTGTGTGTGTTTTGTTTTGTTTTTGGAGATAGGGTTTCTCTATGTTGTCCTGGCTGCCCTAGAACTCCCTTCTGTAGATCAAGCTTCGCCTGCAACTCAGAGATCTGCCCACCTCTACCTCCAGAATGCTGGGATTAAAGGCATGTGCAATCAAGACCTTCAAGTCTTAAGCTCTAAGGCTCTATGCTAGGAATCTGACTTCACAGGAAGGAAGCAGGAGGGAGATGCATTCTAAGTTGATGTCAAAACCAACTCCAGAACAAGACAGGTAAAAAGCCAAACTAAATCCAATACATAGTGGGAGTTAATGTTAAGCTAGAGTGTTCCATGTATAGAGACATTTTCAAGTAGGGTGGGGGACAGAGGCTGTGCCAAGGCTGCAGAGGTTGTACCCGGGCTTCTCCTGTTCTAACCCTCCTCACCTTTCTTCTCCCGATGTTCTGAAGACAGGGTCTAACTGTGCAGCCTTGACTGGCCTGGAACTTGCTATGTAGAAGAGGCTGGCCTTCAACTCACAGAGACCTGCTTGCCCTCCGCCTCCTGACTCCTGGGATGAAAGGCGTGCATTTCCACACCTAGATTTCCCATCACCTCTCTCTCTCCGTCTTCAATCTCTGTCTCCACATTTTCTGGGCGCCTTGGCTCTGAAAATGATGTTCAGTGCCTCACAGGAGGCAGGAACACAGACCACTCTACTGCTACACCTGCTGGCTCCTCCACTGCCTACCTTCTGTCAATCCTGGACAGCATGTAGGCTGTCAGTCAATGTGGCCAAGTATAGCTTCAAGGACTAAAAGGTCCCCACTGGCTCAGGGTCTATATTTTATTTTTGGAACTGAAGAACTGTCTACACTGAAAGTAGCTTACAGAATGGGGAGAGGGAAGGCAGGGTGCCTTAGTAGGACTCTGAAGACAAAAGATTTGTTTTCTATAAGCCATAGGCCTTCAACACTGCAAACTTACCACATACAGAGTCTTTCTGCCCAAAGTAAGCTGCATCAAAGAGATGGTCAGCTGTCTTCTCAAAGGAGGCCAGCATCAACACGCTCTCCTTCATCTTGGCCAGGCCAAATCTGGTAATACCCAGGACTTCACCCTGTGCCGGGGAAGAGGGTTAGATGAGTCTCAAGTCACTCCAGGACCAGGATGATCAGCCAAGCATCTATTCATGGTACCACTAAAAGCAGATGGTTATCAGTGCAGCTTCACAGCCACCGAGGCAGGGATGATCCCAAGGACAAGGAGTCTGTCACTTGTCAATTGTACCCAGGCGCTGTGTCACACAGAATTAGGAACCTGAGTTTTAAAAAGGGGATTCCTTCTTCATTCTACAATCAATAAGCTAATACTAGAAACAATTTAGATAATCCCAGTCAAGGAAATGTGCCAAACACAAACAAGAACAACACAGGAGCAGTGCTATCAACATTTTATCAAGTGAAGGACTTCAGGAAGTCTCACCCGAGGATTTATAGCCAGGCAGTGGTTGTTAGAATAGGGTCAGACATGGTCTCAATGATGTAAACACTGGTGACATACCCATGGTACAGTTAATAACCTTTCCCTTAACCCTTGCCCTTGTAAGCGGCCCTAATGACACTCATTGGGTCATTAAATAAAAAGTCTTTAAAATAGAAGGACTAGAAGGAAGAGGAAGGGAATAAGAGGAGTAGGAGGTATACAAGAGGGGGTATCAGGAGGTTAAATAATACACAAAAAGGTCATAATGAAATTTATGTTATGCATAATTATTATATGCTAATAAAATCATTTGAGAAAACAAAATCAACGACTCATGAGGAACAGTACCCAAGATTGACCTCTGGCTTTCACATAAATGGAAGGGCTGGAGATGAGTCCAGAAACTCAGGGATATTTACCATGACTTTCCTCTGTCTGAGCTACACCTCTGGTTCTATAATTACCTCTACTGTAGTAGAGGCTTATCAGGAAAGGGTCATGTAAACACAATGCAGTACTGTATGGGGAGGAAGCAAACACCCACAGCAGCTTCCCTGACACTCCCACCTGAGAGCAAGGTACTTACTGTGTGCATGCGTGCACTTGCACTAGTAGAGATCAAACACAGGGACCATGCATGCTAGCAAGCGCTGTACCACTGAGCTACACCCCTCCTCTCTGGACGCTACAGAAGCAGCACTGGGATGGGTTAGGTCACCTGGGCATCATGGTTTTGGTAATGCCAGTTTGGCTGCACAATAAGACTCAGGATGTGGGCCCCAGCAGTGGTGGCGCACGCCTTTAATCCCAGCACTTGGGAGGCAGAGGCAGGCGAATCTCTGTGAGTTCGAGGCTAACCTGGTCTACAAGAACTAGTTCCAGGACAGGCCCCAAAGCTACAGAGAAACCCTGTCTCGAAAACCAAAATCAAAACCCAAACAAAACAAAAAGAAAGAAAAAGCAGAAAGACTAAATAAATAAATAAAATAAAGGACTCAGGACATAGGGAAAAAAAGCCATGTTGAAGCTTTTCTCCTCCAATGACTGTCTGTGTTGAAATTCTCATACTGAGAATTTACCGAAACACCTGATCTCATCAGCACACATGGGCCTTTTGGTGGTGACCTTACTTCCTGTTCAGGTCAGTCCTCACTTATATGTGTTTTATATGCTACACATGCTCTCTGGCTCTGTTTGCCAGACAGTGGATTTCAAGACCTCCTTTCTCTCACCTTGTAGGTCATCAGGTCGGAGAGCAGCATCACGTGCCTCCTGTCAATGCTCATGCCGTGGTTGACCATCGTGTACTGGATCTCATTGATGATGGTTGTCCGGGCAGCCTCAATGCCCAGAGTCTTCTCCACCTAGAGAGAAGGCTCGACGTGAGTGGTGGCAGTCCTCGGAGGACTGTCTGACAAACACAAAGCACATACTGACAGATTTGCCAAAACAGATTGCTGTGTAATTGTTGAGAGAAGAGAGAGCAAATGCCAGGGACAAGAAACTTCTGGGTATTGGCTGACGATACAGATGCATGGTACCTCATAGGTGTTATTGGAAGTGGTCCGGGTGCCTTTCACACCATGGGTGGCCATAACTGCCCGCAGGTTGTCACCTTCTACTAGAAGCTTGAACTTCTCCTTCCCGCTCTGCTCGTCGATGTGGATGACAGCTCTGGACACCTCTGGGATGCCCTGTACCACCACCTAACATTCAACACAGAATGCTTAAGATGCTGTAACCTCTAGGTCCCTACCAGGAACCTCAGAAACAGGACTGAAGAGTGGGCTGGTAACCAAGTTCACGCCATTCTAAGTCCCATTGTCACCAGCAGTGTGTGTACTCTAGGAGTGCCTAGGTACTGCTGGGGTCAGGAGACAGATGGTACAGAGGACTGTGCCTCAACCTACAATCAGCTTGAAGAGAGAGCAGACAGTAGACAGACAGACAGACTTGCAGTCTCAGAACTAGGTATAGAAGCTGGCTGAGGGCACAGTTGATAAAGGAACCTGCCATCAAGCCTGATAACCTGAGTTTGACCCTTAAAACCAGGAAGCAGAGAGGAGTCAACGCGCACAAGCACACCACCCACTCCCAAAGCCCCCATATCAATAAGAACCAAGAACCAGATTGACTCCAAGGGTATATCATGAAGTACTGGGGTGCCATCCTTGGTCTCTGTAGTGACCTGGTCCCCAAGCCCACTCACGACTTTCTCTTCACAGGGGGACTCTTTGCCTCACCTTGGGTAGATCCTCTTTCAGGAACTGTAGCACATAATACATGGAGCTCTTGCTGTTCTCCCTGGGGGTGACACATACTATGGCCTCACCATGGACAACCACATCACCAGGTTTCACTCGGAGCTTGGATGTGCAGATGGAGTACCGCACTGTCTCAGCATTCACCTGCAAAGTGCCGGGGGCATTACCAACAGACACCTGCAGACTTGCGTGCCAATGGCTTTCATTCTCAATGTCATGATGGCTCCCCCCCCGCCCAGCCCCCAACCATAGGGTCTATCTGTGTAGCTCTGGTTGTCCTAGAATTCAGAGATCTGCCTGCATCTGCCTGGCTCATGATGATGGCTCTTGAAGAAGTCTCGGTAATCATGTTTGTGCCACCTCTTCTAACACAAAGTTTACTTTTCTTTTGATTCACGTGTATGTGTGTTTGTGTGGATGTATATCACCTGTGTGTAGGTACACAGGAAGACAGGAAGGGGTCAGATCCTCGGGCTGGAGTACAGGAGGTTGTAAGCTACTCTGTGTGGGGCTGGAACAGAACTTTTGTCTCCTGGAAGAGCAGTAAGTAGTGCTCTTAACTGCCCAGCCAACTCTCCATCACCACAACATTTTGATATGCTACATATTTATGTTCAATATATGTGCTTGATTCATAAACCAGTTTATTCTCACTCAAAGAATGAACATTTTCCTCACTGAAAATACATGCATGCCCAATGGCAACAAACAGAGCCCACAGAGAACAACCTGGCCTGTCTGGAGAAAGGAGGCCAGAAGGACTGAAAGGCTGCTGTTTGTGTGCTACACTCCCAGATGTAACTGGATTCTTCAATTTTTCTTTCTTTCTTTTTATCTGGTCCCTAGATAAACCTAAGACCTTGTACAAGCAAGGAAATTCTTCTACTAACAAGTTACATCAATGCCTGTATATCAACTGTGTCACAAGGCCCACAGCAAGACAGACTTGACTGTCATGTGGGAACCACAGAACTGTGGCACTGAGAATGGCTTCCAGAGTTTTTCAAGGCTAAGGCTGGCTTACGGATTAGAGAGCAAGAGGAAAGTGACAGCTCTCAGCCAGCAATTCCTACCCCTCAGCTGACCCCCAGCAATTCCTACCCCTCAGCTGACCCCCAGCAATTCCTACCCCTCAGATGACCCCCAGCAATTCCTATCCCTCAGCTGACCCCCAGATCCATGGTTATCAGTCAACTCTTCTCTCATCACCACAAATACAAATCTCAGGGGACAGGTTAACGCACCAATTGAAAATATTACAAACCAGTCAAGAGCTATGGGGGGGGGGCACACAAGTGCATAAAAGCAGAGTTGGCTGGGCTCTTGACATAGCACATAAAGATGGACAGAGATCTAATATCCTAACACCCTGTGATGATAAACTGAAAAATGTAGATCATACCTACAACTAGTTTCTTATGATGATCAAGTCTTTCTGAATCAGGGAGGGCCAACTCAGAAGGACGTGACAGTTACTGCGATGACCAACAACACAGACCAGCCAAAATCTTTACACTGCTTCTTTGTCTGCTGACTGTTAACCCTGGTTTATTAGCACCTGTCTCAGGACCCATGCGATCACATCCTCCACAGGTTACCTCTCTGGCTCACCTCCAGTCTGAGAAGTCGAATCCGTTCCAGGGAAAGCTTGACAAGAATAAAGCAGTCATCGGGAAGAAACACTTCTTCAATATACTCTGAGATCTGCCATGGCAAAAGAGCAAAGCATTAAGTCTCCACTCTCGTGCCCCCTCCCACCCCAGGCCTGCAGACACATTCCCCTCTAAGGTACATGGACGCTGCTGCAGGCCCCATCCACAGTGCTCTTGCACTTCCTCAACATCGCTGAGAGGGAAGTTTAGCGTTTTCTTGTTAACAAAAGGGATTCTTTACCTCTCCCAGGAGGGTTTTCTCAATTCTGCCTTTTACCAGGCGTGCATAATCTGCATCATCATCCTTGTCTAGCTGTGCTGTGATAATTGGAGTGCTGCAAGAGAACGGATCGGCATACGAGGAAGGGGTTCTGTGCAGTGAACTGCTATGAAATCTGAGTGCCACTCACAGGCCTGAGCCCTTCATAGAAACTCCCACCGGGGAGCTCTTCAACAAAGGACTTCACAGACCTCTCACTAAGACTAGTTTCAGAAGACCCGGGCCCATTCCATTCAGGACAAGGTTGAACAAATTTTCCTGGTGGAAGGAGCCCTCCCTCTTAGTTCTTTCTGCTCCCCAGCTAACCCCTCATACAGTCCACCTCGCTCTGGTCCTCTCCAGCAGCATCCCCACTCCTCTGACCACCACTGTCCCCTTGTCTTCACGACAGTAACCTATCAACACAGGCACTTGGGACAGGAGGCAAGCAGACCTCCAGTCACCTGGATAGCCACAGCTGCTCCCCCAGCTGCAGCTACTTATCATCTGGTGTTATTCTTCTGCAAACCTTAAAAACAGGCAAAACGATTTTTACCCCTAAAAACATGATGTATCTCTAGTTCTTCTAGTCTCTGGTCTGTTGAAAACCTGACAGAGAATCACTTAGGGCTTACAGAAAATGACTACAAACCAAGCAGGAGAAAAACCATTCAGAGCCACTTAGGCCTAGAGTAATTGCACCAAAGGGATGAAATGTCTACTGGCCTAGTGCTCAGTACTGCTAGCTAATTTAATATTTTCCTTCCCATGTAACTAGGAACCATAAGAAAAAATTCAAAACAGGGTGGGAGAGATGGTTCCTTGGATGAAAGCACTGGCTGTTCTTACAGAGGTCCTGAGTTCAATTCCCAGCAACGACAAGGTGGCTGGCAACCATCTCTAGTGGGCTCTGATGCCTTCTTCTGGCTTAAAAGCCTGCATGCAGATAGAGCACTCATATATATATATATATAACAAATCTTTAAAAAACAAAAATAAGATCACAGACTCCATTTTGACTATATTCAGTTTTTACTTGAGTGACTTTCTATAAATCCAAACACTCATCAACACAGAAAACCTGCCCTCTGAACACCAGTCACTAACCTATTAACAAAGCATAGGAATTCAGGAGGACAAGGACCACTGGTCTTCAAGAAACGGGCGAGAGCAGCTACCTGATAGCCTTGGAAGCATTGATGATCTCTTTGATCCGTGGCACGCCCAGTGTGATGTTCATGGAGGCTACCCCAGCAAAGTGGAAAGTCTTCAAGGTCATTTGGGTGCCTGGCTCACCAATGCTCTGGGCACAGAGTGCACCCACTGCAGAGCCTGGCTCCATCTGTGCCCTAGAAGAAAAAGGCACAGAAGAGGATAGGATGCAACAGAGAAAAGGGCAGCAACACTGCTCCATTCAGGCTTCAGGTTACTGCCTCTTAAAAGAAAATATAAAGATTCTGTTGGGTTTAGGATACAAACAGCAATCAGCCAGGCAATGTTTGTGCCAAAGGTACAGGCTTGCACAGACTAGGAACAAGTGCCATTAGGCAGGCAAGACAGTCAGAGTGGCAGACAATATGACTAAATTCTGTGGGGTCAGCATGTGATTTATAGACGGCTGGTTCCACTGTGTGGAACAGTTTGAAGTGATCTGCTCTTACTGGATATTAAAGAGGTCAGAGAGCTGAAATCTGCCACACAGATCATGAGATTTTTATGGGAAAAGACATTCAGGAAATGTGTTTGTAAGTCCTTTGTATAGATTCTTAACTGAGATGAGAAAGACTCCACGTAAAATGGGCAGAATCATTGCACTGGCTGGGGCCTGACTGTGTAACAGGGAAGAAAGCTAGAGTATCAGTAGAGGCGAGTGGGCTGCATGGGTGTGTTCTTTTCTCTCTGGTCTTGAACACCAGTGTGCCGTGACTAGGTGAGCTCTTGCCTTGACTTCCCCCAAATACACTCTAATCTGGAACCGTGAGGCAAAAATCAATTCTTCCCTCTCTAAGCTGCTTTTAGTCAGAGAATTTTATCACATCAACAGAGATGAAACCAGGCCAGCCAAGATTCTGAACCAGTGAGACTATCCCAGGCACAGGAGTCCTGCATGGATGGCTGGGAGTCTAGGACAAGTAACATGCCTACCTCATGTACTTGTCCCTGCATGTCTCCAGAAACTTCTCTATTTGGGTGGGAGTGATACGGTCCAACTGGTACAGCACACGAGGCTGGAAGGACAAAGCCAAGTGCACAGTCAAGACTAGCAGCACCAGTGAAACGTGTGTCCCAACAGGCCTGGGAAGGCTGTACCTCTGTTGTGCCATTATCATTGATGCCATATTTATCTCTGGTTTTCTTGATCTTCTCAGACACCCCTTTAATGAATGTTTTTATTTCCTGAAAAGATTATACATCACACATCAATTACATGATTCTCAATAATTTGGACAGCACAATCATTTTGTAACTTCCAACAAAGGACAAAGTGAAGCATATCTTAGCAACTACTAAATACACAGCAGCAAGGACGCAATGAGGGTACTGGCTCTCTTATACAGTGCTTGTAAGGGGTCTTTAACTCTGAGGAAACTGACCTGCTTATTAAAGTAAACCTCATCAGCCAAACTTTTCCCATGAGTTACCTTGGGCTCTTATCTCGGCCACATGGCTGTGGAATGGAACTCAGCATAGTTCTGGGGACACTATGAGGCACACATTTCCACACTCAGAACATGGATGACTCCGCTGTGAAGGTTTCTTCGGAAGCAAGCATAATCACTCATTCTAAACATCACTGTCTGATGGGGAATCTCAGCTAATCACATTCTGCTTAAGGTATGGCCATTCAGGCTATAAAAGATCGAAGTGCCTTGCCCCGTGCCCCTTCGGTTTTCTGGCTCCATTGGTGTTCGCGGGATCTAGGGTCTTGTAAGTTTTCCCCTTTTAATTAAAAGCTAAATCTTTTTTTTAAAAAAAAATATTTATCTATCTATCTATTTATCTATTTATTTATCTATCTATTTATTTATTAGGTATACAATATTCTGTCTGTGTGTATGTCTGAAGGCCAAAAGAGGGCACCAGACCTCATTACAGATGGTTGAGAGCCACCATGTGGTTGCTGGGAATTGAACTCAGGACCTCTGGAACAGCAGGCAATGCTCTTAAACGCTGAGCCATCTCTCCAGCTCCCCAAAGCTAAATCTTTTATATAGTATTGGTCTGTTTATTCTATCGATCTGCCATGCCCGCTACAACTGTCTCTCTCCTATGGTTACTTGGTTACTGGTTCTCATGTTTGATTAGGCTAGTCAACATGTTGGGTTTTTTCGGTTGTTCTTGTTTTGTTTTGTTTTGTTTTACCTCAAGACAGGGTTTCTCTGTGTAACAGCTCTGGTTGACCTCAAACTTACTTTGTAGACTAGGCTGACTTTGAACTCTAGCCTCCCAGTGCTAGAACTTAAGGCATATGACACCACACCTTGCTTGTTCAACTTGTTCTTTATAGAGAGAAGAAATGAGACATGGAGGGTATCCCTGCAGTTCAAATATTTTTCTAGATAGAAATGATTTCATTTAAGAGATTTTTTAAATTGTAAGATTTAAAGTCTCAGAAATAGATGGAGAGATGGCTCAGCAGTTAAGAACACTGGTTACTCTTTCCGGAGGATCCAGGTTCAATTCCCAGGACCCACACAGTGAAAAACAAAAGGTAAACCAACAAAACTCTCAAGGCACACCATGATGAAGGTCCCCAAAGGAGAATGGGAAGACAACAATTTGTTTCTGATCTGTGACAGAAAGCACTGCAATTTGAGACACATGGCTGTCCCTAACGACAGATACTCAGAATGGCTGTGGGACAAATGGAACAGCAGACCTAGGACTAGTGACAGGGCTCACACTGACCAGTTCTCCAGGCTCTATTTCTAACAGGAAGACAGGAGACTAGTTCTTCATGCGGGCTAGGGAGGTACTGCCCAGGACACGACAAAAACTGCACTAAGATCATAGTTTACAGAATGCAGTGGGGGGCACCTGTCAGATCACATTCTCAGCACTGGGCAGGCAGAGCCTACCTGCAGGAAGCTGTCCTGGCAGCAAAGGAAGTCGTTCTTCTTCATGATGGCCTCAGTGGTCAAGGTGAGCTCGTTCTTACTGAGAGCAGGTTCGTTCTGACATGGAAACACTGCCTGAGCACAGAAAGAATATGGTGTTACATATGCCTGGTGGGGGAGAGGGGGGGTACTAGGAGGAGGAATTTACTAGATAGACATAAAACAACTCAGTGAAGTTTTAGCAACCTGTGACTCTTTGCTAACAAACTCTCATGTGAAAATGATAAACTGATATGCTGTCTTGTTTGTCTGAGACAGTACTGGGTAGCTCAGGCTGGCCTCAAGCTCACTAGATAGTGGAAGGTGGCCTTTAACTCCTGATCTTCTTCCCTTTCAAAGGACAGGATTACAGGCATGCACTATCATGTCCAATGAGGAATCCCCACATTATTTAAAGAGTTCCACTCTAATTCATGAGTTTGGATCTATTACTTCACAACTCAATCCCACCCCAGAATTACATCATAAATGTACACTGCTGAAGTCAGACCTAATGGCCCACCCTGTACGGCCAGCTACTTGGAAGGCTCAGGAACATAGATCAGAAGTTAAAAGTGCCTGGATTCAGAACACAATCAAGGCCTGTTTGGGCAGCTGAGCAAGACCCTGCTTGAAAACACAAAATAAAAGAGTACCAAAGAATCAAGGTGTTGCTCATAGGAGAGCCCTTGCCTTAACTTCAGCCATACAGAAAGTAGCCAGCCAACTAGGCATCTCCAGAGGGGAGGGGCAACAATATTCCTCAAGCTCGGGCTTTCCTCAAAGTTTTAATGGTTTCTGGCTGGTGGTTTCCAACTACTAGAACCAACTGCAAAAACACACCTGAGTGGAACCACCTTCTACGACTAAAAGAGCTTGGTCAAAGGTACTAAACAGAATCCAAGTGAATACTCTTCAATTACTCTTCAAAAAGAGTGGTTCCAAACCATATTCCTGGCTCCAGGACATGAAATGAGCCTTCTGCCTGACACCCATTCTTTATAAAGCTTGTCTCTAGTCCATGCCACTCCGGGAGAGGAACCAGAACCTCTTCCATTGGCATCTGATATGACTAACAATAGACTCACAAATGAAAAGACAAATAAAAGTAGCAAGGTACTAATCTAGTCCTGAGGCAGAGATGATTGGGTGGGAAGTGTGGTACTTCAAACAGAACCAACACCTATGACAAAGCCCCCCAGAACTGTACCCCTCAAGAGGGTGCTGCATCTCACTTTGATGTTGTCCAGAACCCTTTTAAACTCCAAAGGCTCATCTTTGCCCTCCATGGCGGCAGGATCTAAGCCATCTCCTCCGTAGATGAACTGGATGATGTCACCAGTGGAGCTCCGCACTGTCAGATCATACTGGGAGCAGAGGTCTTCCAGGGATTTGACCAGCCTTCTCTACAGGAAGAGGAGGAAGTTCAGCTGCCCGGGCAAGACTGCTTTGTAACACGCAATCAGACTTACCATTCAAAATTTCAAGGTTATAGGTCATTTATTTGTTCATTTTTCATGGTGCTACAGATGAATCAGGGCCTTGTATATGCTAGGTCAGCACTGTCACCCAGCCACATCCCCAGCTCTAAGTGTCAAGTACTTTAGTTACAGCAACAGCACTTTATTAATAATCCCTTAAGAGTCCCTCCCATGCCTGAGCACAGCAGGCCCGCAAATGCCTCACTAGGCTGTGCAGTGAGAGCAGCTTATGCTCCAACCTCCAGTCTTACCGTTGTCAAGACTCCCTGCATCAGAAACCTCCCCAGCCCCAAGAACTCTGCTTCCTCAGCTGCTTAGCCTTCCTACCCAGCTCCCTATGGTACAAACCAGTTTTTACGCACATTCATGCCAGGTTCCACAGAGAACCAGACACAAGCTCTCTTTTGGGACAGAGGAGGAAGCAGGGCAACAGACTCTGAATCAAGGGTAACAACCATTTCTCAACAATGCCTGGGAAAATCCTCCACCACCAGCCAGCAGTGTGACTGTGGACTAGAGAATGAGAGAAACCTCAGAAAACAAGCCTGGCCTTGCCCAAACCCACTCCTTCTAGGTTAACATGGTGCTCTTGGAAATTCACTGTTCGTGTCAACACCGTAAGGCAGAGCTCCTCACATGTGGAAATAGCATTCACAGGTCACTGGGTTTCTGACAAAAGCATACCTGGAAACCAAAGGGCATTCCCAGCAGAAGACTACAGTGTGAGGCGATAACAAACAAGGCACACACAGGGTGCTGTCTGGAACGAGTGTCTCTGACCACTACCTCACCATCATCACCTTTGTCTGACTCGCTGGATCATTAAATCTTGATTATGTAGTCTGCGAGGACCACATTTCCAGAGGGGACAGACAGGACACAAACCTATATCAAGCATGTGACCCAACAATGTGGTCTGTCAACTTTAACAGGTATCATAAACCATCAAACACATGACCAATTTCGAGGCACTAGGACTGTGTTCAGCAGTTAACACACTGCCCTAGCATTAGGGTGGCCTGTGCTCAATCCCCAGCAACAGAAACAAACACAGAGGTTTTTTTTGTTTGTTTGCAAACACAGAGAGCTTGTATCGGAGAATGGAAATGACCATGCAGTCTGGAAAGAAATCCTCGGCTGCAACCTTAAAGGGGACACAGAGGGTCAAGTTTTATAGCCATTTGTAAGTGTAGCAAAGAACCCCCTATCTAGTTCAGCCATGTCACTCCGAAGCTGTACTTCCTGGGAGTTATGGAAAGGATGAATAAGGAGACCTAAACAGTGAGAAGATAAGCATTGGAAACCTCTCAGCAACTAGCAGGCAGTGATCACCCCACTCCCCAGTCATGCTCAATGGTAAGTTCAAGGCTATGAGCTAGGCATTTGTCTCTAGGGGACTTAGTCACCTGGGACTTTAATCTGGTCTCTGCCTTTCGGAGCACACAGGATAGAAAACCTGTGCTGGGCTACCATTTTGTTTGTTTCTTAAGTTTCAGAGCACCAACAAGTCTAAATGTTACCATTTAATACCAAGAAGACGCAAATCACAGCTCTTATACAAAACATGTACCAACGCACAACTGCACACATGAATGCAGCCACGCACACAAGGACGTGCACAAGGACATGCGCACGAACGTTGACACACACGCAAGAAGGCATGAATATAACGAGCAGGTGTGGCTCACAGGCTCACATTAAAAAAGTGCTGTTGTTCTGTTGCTAATGACACTTCCTCAGCTTACCTGCATGTATCCTGTTTCTGCGGTCTTTACAGCAGTGTCTACAAGACCCTCCCGACCAGCCATTGTGTGGAAGAAAAACTCAGTAGGTGTTAAACCAGAATAAAAGCTATTGGCCACAAAACCTTTGGCAGCAGGGAGCTAAAGAGAGGTAGGAAAAAAAAATCAAATGAGGTTCAAGGCCCAGAAATTTTAAAATCCATCCACATAAGAATATGTCCCCTGGAAGCTACACACATATCCAGCCAGTGACTCAAGAACTGGCAGGTACCCTATGACCTTGCTTAGAGGAGAAATAATTTAGGCACTCCATCTTTGCTAGAATGCTGGTGCAGGTTAGAGGCTAGGAAGAGGAAAACGTGAGTTAGAGCTGCTATTCCAGAAGACCCAAGGACCTCAGAGGGCACCCAACCCATTCCTTAGGAAGCCATTGTCTTCAAAACATCCTTATTGTGGGCAGGCCCCGCCCACCTCCAAACCAGAACCTCCTGTAGCTAGAGGTACTGAAGATGTAAAATAGACTCAGCGGTGGCAGTGCAGCTCTGACACACCAGCAGTCACTGAACAGGCGCCTCAGTGGGGCGAGATTGACATGAAGTGCAACTCACTGTCACAGCAACACATTTTATGTAAACACCAAGTGAAAATAACCACGGGCTTTAGATCCTGATGAGTCTCTGTTCCTCAGAGGATGATCCAGACAAAGAGTCTGTCAAACTTCCACTGCCATTTACCTTCGAATGTTTCTCAAAGTGAGGCAAAGATCTATTTTCAAAGCCATCTGGAACCCGGGAGCCACTGATGGCTTGCTGTCCCACACAAGCGATCATCTGTGATATGTTAATGAAGGAACCTGGGAACGGGTCAGAAATGGAAAACTGTACTGGAAACAATAACAGAAGCCAAGCAGAACAGAGGCATAAACAGAATGTGACACAGCACAACCAGTCCAAGGTTACTGAAGGACAGAATGACAGCATCAGAGCTGGAACAAGGACAGGGCTGAGGGACGTGTGCATGTGTGGGGTGGAGGGAAGGTCCACTGGAGTCACTCAGATACCGTCAGATTGGCCTCTGGACGTGGGGTTTGCACAGAGAGGAGAAAGGGCAGAAAGTGTGTGAATGTGTGTGGGAGAGTGAGAGGAGGGGGATCCTAGGTGAGCTCCAGGAGCAGGAAGCAGAGCAATGGGCAAAGGGCATTCACGTTAGAGAGCTGGAATTTTATTTCATGATGAACAAAACCCCACAACAATAGAAGCCTTGAGGTTCTGAGTTTGAGCAATGCTGTAAGGGTCTGAGTAAATATGAAGTTAAAGATTCTGCCACATCTAAGCTAGGGCTATAACTCAGTGGTAGCACACTTGCCTAAGAGGGGTGAGATCCTCGGTTTGATCCTCAGCACACAAGAAAAGAAAAAAGATCACCACATCACCAAATCTATTTCTAAAAATTTCCAGCTTTCTTTTTAACACCAAATTTGGTCAAAGCACCTTCACACTCAGGAACTCCGTCACATTCCCAACTACTGTCTTCAAAAGACTTAAACTGTCCCAACCCAAATCAAACAAAAGCTCAGTCTTCCATGATTTAGAGACAGGCACTTGAAGAAATGAATTGCCTCTATGAAAATACAACCACCGAAGTCGTGTTCTAGAGACAAGCCCCTGGCAGGGCACACAAGCGGTCAACCCTGAGGGCTTAGCTCACCTTTGGAGCCACACAGGGCCATGGTGAGGGGGCTGTTGCTTTTGTCCAGCTCTCGGAGGCAGGCACTGCCAGCATGGTCTCTGATCACAGACAGCTCCTTCAGGATCAGGGCCTGAGGGGAGGGGCAGAGAGGGAAGAAAATGCAGTCTTTGAGGAGCCGTACTCTGGCTCTGCAGATCACTAACCTTCAATCTGACATTTGAGACCGTTTCATCAGGATGTCAGATTTCCAATCAATGAAGTTTCCAGAACTTGACAATCAAAAAACCCAAGCTGCACTAAGGCCTTTCTTCCCCTAGGTCCTGGAAGAGTGTGAATCGCAGCGTAAAGAAACTCCTAAGAAATATTTCAAATTGCTCATGAAGCAGATGTCCATGAGTTTGTGTGTTGCTGTGTATGTGAGAGCAGGTGGACATCCAGTCATGTATGCATGCACACATGTAAATGCTCATGTGAAGGAGAACTGCTCACTCTGTTGTACAGTCTGTCTCTCCCCGTCCTTACCCAGCATGCTCTCAATCTGCAAGAGCAGAGAATGTGACAAGATGACTCCAGGACCACCCTGACCTGTGAGCACAGACACAGCTCACAATTTGAGATGCTGAGCCCTCTGGAGGCCTCAATTTATTTAGGTGGTTACTCCTCCTACCTCTCTGTCTAAATCTCAGGAAGACAGAAAAGGAGCTGACTTCCAGGGGGGATTAATACAGTCCTGGGAGCCCAGCACTCAGGATACCGTGGCAGGATTCTGAATCAGAGGTTGGGTTACATAAAACCTGTCCTTAAAAAACCCCCATAGAAAGAAAGAATTCTTCATCTTCCCACCTCTTATTAGCATGACCTGGTTTTGAACCCTCTTTAGAAAACTAGTTACATGATTTGAAGAGAAAACAAAATACTTGCTTTGAACTTTGTATCACTGCCTTGGGCACCAATTGTTTGAGTTAAAGGTGTGTGCCACCCCACACAGCTGGGAACACTTAATGCTTCAAGGGCCTATCTTCCATACTATAGGGAGGTGAAGGTACAAGACACAGCCCATGGAGAAGGCAGAAGAAAGCAAGGCATGGTAACAAATCCAAGACTCGAAGCTGAGGGCAAAAGACCTTGAATTTGTGGCCAGCATGAGCTACCGAGTGAAACCATCGTGAAACAGAACTAAACAAATGCCCAGTGCCCCAAGTCCTGGTCCATTTGCTTTTGAATTTCAGGCTGCTAGAAGAGAGGAACAGATTTTGATGCACTCTAAACATGAGGAGGCTGTGGGCTGTGTGTGAAACAACCCAACATGAATATTTCTTATCATGTATCCAAGTCATGGTAGTGATCAATGTACTGAGCTTTGGTGTGGTCTATCTACGGAGGAATGCTGCGAAGAGGGAGGGTAGAGGCTCCGAGGGACACAATCAGAGCAGTCCCAGTGAAGCACAGCCCCATGATGTCAAATGAACCCATGTTTTCATACCAGAGTGTGAAAGCTCAAAGAGCATGTCCCAAACAAGAACACATGTTAAGAATGGGACAAGAATATGTCCCATTCTTGTCTTGCTTGTCTGCCACCTTCTCTTCATGGCTTTTAGCCCCTCCCAAATACACTGTAAACAGGACAACCGACCATGCCGATCTGGAGGGCAGCCTCACCTCTAGTGTTTCCTCAGCAGTACAGCCTGGCTGCTGCTGCAGTTTGCCAGTGTTCAGGGCCTCAATGTATTCATCGCATTTCTTGTAGCCAGCATTTAGTAGCTCATACTTGGCCTTGAGCAGTCCCTGGCCAGGTGTGACATCACCAATCCCGATGGAGAACCCACGGTTAGCTGAGGGAGCAGAAGAGTGATAAGCATTATCAGTCAAGCTGTCAGGCAGAGCTCATCCCCGCTGCCTGCTCTCCTCCTCTCAGAAATCACTCAAGGAGAACGGTTGAACTCAGCGGAGAGAGAAAGCACTTTGTAACCCTGGGTTTAGTCTACAATAGGGGAAAAAGGGCAACCATAAATGCCATCCCTGATACACTAGGCCTAAGCTGCGCATATGAAGAAGTGAGTGGCTGAGTGTCCAGCCTTGGTGACAAGGGAAAGAAGAGGCCCTTTACAGTGTCTACGGGAGGAAGTGAGGTCGCCAGTGTCTGCAGACATGGAGATGAATGCACTGGAGACAAGGACAACGCATGTGAGGAAAGGCTCTGGGTTTCCTTTGGAAGGAAATTGAACCAAGAACTCTGGATTTGAGAATACCAGTCACAGCCAGATAAGATGACAACCATCTGTGCAGTTTATGATGGGGGTCCTGAGCCCCCTCCTTGGCCAGCTTCCATGTCTCTATCCCAGGGGGAGGCTGAAACTAGAAGGGATGTCTCTGAAGAAATCAAGCCTCCCTAGAGAAAACTGTTACTGACGGGATAGGTGGTGGCCCCACAGTGAGAAGACTGGCTCTCAGCTCAAGCCAAGGAACCGAGAGAACAAGAAAACCTGAGCTGTATTTCCAGTGATGAGCATCTCACACCCACGGATGAATGAATAACCAAGGAACAATATGGATCTTATGGATTTTAGGGCGATTTAGTTTTTTTCTTTTTTAAAAGATTTTATTTATTTATTATGGATACAGTGTTCTGTATGCTTGCACACCAGAAGAGGGCACCAGATCTCATTACAGATAGCAGATGGTTGTGAGGCACCATGTAGTTGCTGGGAATCGAACTTAGGACCTCTGAGTCATCTCTCTACCCCTTTAGAGCAGTTTTAACATGAAATATGACACCATAAATTAAAGAGAAAAGGACAGAGAAAATTAAGGGAGCAAAAATTAAAAATACTCAGTAAAATTTCTTCAGAGCAATCAAAGTCAAATCCAGAGATCAAAGTGAGGCAACTCCTGCCAGGTGTGAGCTTGAGGCCAGCCTGGTCTACATACCCATTTCCAGGCCAGTGGGACTATATAGTGAGATCGTGTCTCAAAAACATAAACAAAACAGAGGAAGCTGGAAAAATCCCAATGAGATAACCTAATCTGCAAATAATGATCATTTTGTCAGAAATCTAATACTTACCAAGTAAAACATTTAAAACCAACAGAAATGATAGAAGACAAAAAGAATTGAGAAGACAATGTTTTTAAGGAAAAAAAAAAGTAAGAAAAACAGAATTGATCCAGTAACTGGAAATGCAATTAACACAAGTTCCAACAGAAAGAAATGGAGATAAAATTATCAAAGAACTAATGATGAAACTACAGACAGAAAGGACAGCACTGCGAAATCACAGGAGCCGACTGAGTGATCAGCACAAGACAGTAAAGAGCCTGCACCAGGGCTCCACTGTCACCTTTTCCAACAATACTAAACATAAGACATAGTATGGCCTCCAGGATGGGAAACAAAAGATTTAAAATATTATGGGGATAGAAATGGCTGCACCCTTTCCACAGCACCTCTAGAAGCTGCAACAGAACAGAACAATACTGAGGGGATTCTGAGGTAAAATATCCAGTCTAAAATTTTTCATCCAGGCAGAGTTAGTCAAATATGAGAAGAATTACAATTTTATGGTTGGCAAGATGGCTCAGTGGGTAAAGGTGCTTGCCACCATGCTTGATACCAGAGTCTGATCCTTAAGACCCACGTGGTAGAAGAAGAGACTCCTACAAGTTGTACCCTGACCTCCACACTTATGCTGTGGTATCAGTGTACCCATACTCACAGACACACAGACAACAAAACTCAATTTTGGGAATCATGCAAAAATCACTTGATAGATGCTACCCTCAAAGCATGAACAAGCAAAGGAAAGAGCCATGTAAGCACAGAGAGGTGATACTGAACCATCTGGTTGGAATGAATTATGGGAGGCCCAGAGGCTACAGGAGGAAGAGACCTGGTCAGTTGTCTTCATCAACCCAATATGGACCAAATGCAACAGAACTGCCATATACAGACTACCCATGTATGCTTTAGCATTGTCAGGGCATAAATTTCATTTAAATTTCAGAGGCTGTGAGTTTCTCTAGGTACTTGGGAAGCAGCCCACAAAGACCTTTTTATGCAATACACCCATTCACAGACAATAGGAAGCTACCATAGATTCTGATTAGAAAAAATGAAAATCAAACTCAAATCTACCAACTTGTCAGTAGTGAGTCGAGTCACTGATAAATACACAAACGATTTAGCATACTTTATCCGGTTTGGGTGTGGGAATGAAACAGTGAAACAACACACTGTCCTAAAACACTAAGACAGCAATACACGAAACACGGAGCTGCTGAGATACTCACACAGGTAGACAGGAGCCAGCCGGGCAAGCCGAGACATGGCATCGGCAGCCTCGTTCTGCCCCCAGTCTCGTAGCAGGATGTAGAAGATGTTGTTCTTGGACCCCGACCCCAGGGTCCCTTTGTCCATGCTGCCGCTCATCAGCTCGCTGTTTTGAATCGTGACAACTGCAAGGGTGATACTGACAATGCATTTAAATGAACAATTATCTGATTGAAAAATGTTTACGTCCTGAAAATTCCTAGTAGAGCTGAAGAATTTCTCAGAAAACCAGCACCCTTCTAAATGCTGGAACTCATGAGCACATCCTGGAGATTCACAGCTAGTCCCGAAGTCCTGTTAGCCAGTGAGCTGGGGAGAGCTAAGGAGCTTGTGTTATACAGTAGCTACGGGATGCTGGCTGTGAACCTCACTCAGATCACTGTTTTAAAGGGACTCAGGTGACTTGTATTTTAATCCTCTTTCTGTTATATTCTACTGAATCTGCATGTTAGCAAGACTTCTTTCTGCCTAAGTGAAACCAGTTTAAAAAAAAAAAAATCAGTCTTGGGGCGGGGAAGGCATGATGCCCTGAGTTCAATGCTAACCACCAAAGTAGAGTCAAATGGTACTGTTCCCCACTGAAGTCCCAGCACTCCTGAAGGTGAGGCAGAAGGGCTGCTGTTAGTTCCAGGTCAGTATGAGACTTTTCTCTGTTCATAAAAACAAAAAAACAAACCAACAAACAAAACCCACACCTACAAGTTGTGCTGTTAGACAATGAACACACGGTCTACAAGGCATATAATAAAACTATAAACCTAAAACAACCTTTGCTGCCCACCTGTCCCCTCTCTTAGAAAAAAGCCAAATCACAATCACATTAACTGACAAAACCCTTTCAAAGGACTGCTGTGCGCACTGGAACCGTCACACGGTGGCTGCTGTCCAGAGAGACTGACACCAGCAGAAGCGCAGCTACACTGTCCTGGAGAAAACCCTTCTGACCCTTTGCAGAAACAGTGAAGTTGCTCTTAGCCAATGAAGCTCATGCTAGGTCACTGCTTGCTGCTCCCAGCCCATGGCATTCCCATCCACTCACAGGAATCATTGACGCACAGATCTTCCCCCTTGCCGCAGTACTGCTTGCCCTTGGTCCGGAGGTTGGCCCTCACTGGATTGTCATCGCTGGGTCTGAGGATGATGCTGAAGATCTGCTTTCCGGTCCACAGAGTGACAGGCTGGAGGAGAGGAGGCAGTAGATGAGGGTGCAGTGACTCCCGGCGAGCCCAGTACCAGCACAGTCCCCTCCATTCCACTAGCCACCCACACAGACCCCAACACACCTTTAGTATTGTAGGGGGTGGAAGGCGCACTTTAATTTTCTCATCCTTGCCAACCAGTATTGAAGCAATGATTTGGCAAGCCTTGGCTCGATCAAAGAAAGTGTCCTTGAGGGTGAGGAGGTAGGCACCTAAGGCAAAGAACCAGCACAGAAAGGAACCGTGTGGGGGAACACACACATTTTCAACCTTCAAGTCAAATCAGACTGTTCCCAGAGAATAAAAACAGAGAAGTAAGTCAAGTGGCTTTGCTTCATCTACTGCTCTTCTCTGAGCAGCGGCAGAGCCTAGGCCAGATACTAGGCCTAGAAAACCCCAGGTTCAGGAAGATCAGTCTTGGCTGCATGGGAAGCTCAGGGCCACCCCAGATGCAGCCCTACTGAACATCCCCTACATGCTCAGCTTACAGGAAGCCCTACTGAACCGCCCCCCAACTCAATCTGTATGAAGCCCACTGTATCCCTCAACTTAGCCTACATGAAGCCCACTGGCCCCCTCAGAGTACATGAAGTCCCCCGTACCCCTACTAAACCTAAAGTCCCCGTACTCCTACTAAGCCTACATGAAGTCCCCTGTGCCGCTACTAAGCCTACATGAAGCCCCCTGTACACTCACTCAGCCTACATGAAGGCCCACCCCACCACTACCCCCTCTTAGCTTAGCCTCTACCACAAAAGAAGCAACAAAAAAGTACCTGCCAAGTTTGTGGAGCTCAGTGAATACACACAGAATAAATTGGATAAACAACTAGCAAAACTCACTTTCAACAATCTCAATATGTCAGAATGGCAAATCTCAATACAGGGCAGGACATGGTGGTGCACACCCATAACCCTGGCACCTGGGAATATGCAAGAGGATTCTGAGTGCCAGGCCAGCTGAGCCACCCAGGGGCACACTGTGTCAAACTAAAAGTAGAAAGGCTCCTAAGTACAGGTAATAGCCACTGTCTGAAATCACTGTGCCTGGGAAGCCAAAATCTCCTTTGAAGTTAACGCTCACCTGTTAGGAAGTCCTGAATGGCAGCAATGAGTGGCTCTCCATTTCTTGGGGTCACAAGGTTCGCTTTGGTCTGAAGGAGAAACAAGCACATGTCAGCCACTCTGGTGGGTCATGCAGCCTGAGGGTCTGCATCACATGACTGTAGGCATCACCTGGCTGTTGGGAGGTCTCCACCCCAGCAGTCTTACTATACTATGCGGTTCCCTTATTGATCAAGGGAAAAGAAAAGTAGGGGCTCACTCTGTAGCCCAGGTTGGCCTAGAACTCACTATGTTGCCTAGGCTGACCTGGAACTCACAGTGATCCTCCTGCCTCAGTTTCGTGAGTCATGGTGTTAACAAGTGTAGCCAAGACCAGCTAAGAACATTCCGTTCTGTGAGAGCCGCATGATCTCTGACATCAGCCACGTCCTTGTCTCTCCACAATGACAGGAAAACCAGTGACTTCTCTTTAGATCCTAACACAACTGAAGCAAGCAGAGGTCCCTTGTCGCAGTGGGGCTCCTCTAATGTCCACAAGGAACGTGGAGGAGCTCCTGCGCGCCTCTGGGTTTTCTAGGCCTCCTTACCAAGCCCAAGGCTCTGTCAGAGACCTTTATTTCTCATTTGTGAGCTACCACATGGTAACGACCCTACACACTCACCGAGGTTCACCTGAAGTTAGGGATTCTGTGACTCTGTACACTCTGGGCCCACATCCACAGCGGGACCCTATAGGCCTTACTGAGAACTGCTGCTCCGCAGTGCCAGATCAACATTTCTCCAGGGAAACTCGTACTTTACGATTGTTATTTTAATAAGTTCTTACAAAAGAAGACAGCGGTCTGGCCCCTGACAGGCACAGGCAAAGTTTAGCTGGTTAAGTGGTGGCTGTTATTCCTGATAACATTTTACTATTATCTTTAATTCAAAAACAACATGTGTTTTTTACTTAAAAAAAAAAAGAACTACAAATATGTCTGTTACCCTAGTGCTAGGAACAGATGTAGGAGGATTACAGTAAGTTCTAGGCTAGCCTGGGCTACCGAGCCAGCCCATCTCAGCAAAGAAATGTGGAGGCTGGAAGTGTGGCTTAGCTGTCAAGTGTAACTAAATTTATTTACTTATTTACTTCTAGTGGGGTAAGGAATGAACTAAGGGCTTCGGGCCCGACAGGGAAGAGTTCACCATAGCGCTACAGCCACACTCTGTCCCTTCAAGTGAAATTTGCAGGTAGAAATAGGGGATACTTACAACCATACATGGGTGAGCTTATAATGCAGGAATGCAGGACAGAGGGGGGAAATACTCAAACCAGATGTGGTATAATATGTGTACTCTTGGCCACTAGGGAGACGGAGACAGGAGGATCTCTTGAGCTCATGAGTTCAGCACTAACATAGGCAACATACCTAGGTCCCAATTAAAATCCACAAGTCCAAAGCTATGCAAGTCAATATTCAGGAATTGCTAAAATGGCACAGCCCTACACAGAAGACACCCAATAGCGCCATGTACAGCAGGATGTAGGAGGAGCAGTGTGAATGGTACAAGAGGCAGAGACCAACTCCTAAGAGCAGTCATGAACCTCCCCATCATAGAACCTCTGCAGCCACAGCAGACTCATTTTAAGTTTGGAAGACAAGAGTATAGTGCCCTTTAAGAGGCCAGAGCAGCATGTAATACGCTTCGGGAAGTTTTCATTTACAACATACTGAGCAACCCACTTAGGAGGGCATCTCCCCCCACAACACCCATACTGGCACTGGCGCACAATGCACAATTTCTTTTTTCCTTTTTTTGAGACAGGATCATGTTGGTTTTGAACTCAAAATGTTCTTGTCTCTGCCTCCAGTGGGCTGGGTCTCACTCTGTAGCTCAGGTTCTTGAGTGCTGGGGTTAGGTTAGAGGCGTGTGTCACACCCAGCTGGTTTCACAGCTGTCACCTATGTTCATATTTCCTCCCAAGAATCCAAAGTACAGATCAGAAAATGCCATCCCACCCTAAAAAGCACTTGTTAGTAACTCACAGGACTGTTCATAGGCTCAAAGGGACCCAATGAGAAAACCAGACAGAACAGCACAAGCCTTGTAGCATGTGTGAGAACAGAAAAGGCCCGGCTTCTCTGGCATTGGGACCTGCACTACTGTTTCATGTGGGGCCCAACTCACATGTAATATCCCACTACCTACCCCCATGAGAACAAGGGCCTCGGCTTTGGCCTCCTCTGTCTGGGGAAGATGAAGGTTCATTTCATCCCCATCGAAGTCTGCATTGTAGGGGGTGCAGACACATTCATTGAATCTGAAGGTCCGGTGGGGCTTGACCCTGGCCTGTGGAACACCAAAACAAAATATGAGCACCCAAAAAGCTTCCCTGTTTCAAGCCATAAGGAAAACACAGACACTGCCTAGAAAACTAGGTACTTTAAGGAAGTAAACTGCTATTTATTCTTTTGAGATAAACACATCACCTGTAAATTAGCCAAGTAAATTTAACATACTATAAGGCAAATACCAACACAGGAGACAATATATACAGTCCACACTCCTCAGTATTAACAAAGTTTCAAATATAGTTTATTATACAGGAAGCCTCAAAGCAAGAAATGTAAGTCTACCAAGTAAGGAATTTTAAAGTCAGTGATTCTCAACTCCCCAGACTGATAATGAAGGGAAAAGAACTAGCCATGGATGCTGCCTTTGTAAACTGTTCTCCAGGGTGAGCCACTGCCCTAAGAGCAGAGGAAATACATTCATTAAAAGAAGTCTGGATGGGGCTGGAAAGATGGCTCAGCAGTAAAGAGCATTGATTGTTCTTCCAGAGGACCAGGGTTCAAATCAAGCACATACCTGTCAGTAACTCCAGTTTCAGTGGACCCGATACCCATGGCAAAATACCAATGCATATAAAAAAAATTAACTAAAAAAGAAGTCTGGATAACACACGACAAAGAAAAGAAATCAGAAATTGGGGCCTCCTGTGTAGTCTCAAGTATCTGAATCTTTCCCTTAGCATCAGCCAGAGTGGGGTGGCCAGATCACATGAACATCCCCAAACAAAGAGCAATAACCAGCACCATCTATACATCAGCCCTGTCAAAAAGCTGAGCCTTTAGACTCATTTCAAGCTTAGAGGGATGAAAAGCAACAGAAAGCCACATCTGCAAGAGAGCCCACAGCCCACAGCACTCTTCAAAGCCACTCTGCCACTAAGCACTCAACACGCTCAAGAAACCCACTCTTCAAGTCTCTTAAGCATTTCAGTTGCTAAGTTTCTTTTCTTGTTTTGGTTTTTTGAGACAGGGTTTCTCTGTGTAACAGCCCTGTACTGGAACTAACTTATTCTGTAGACCAGGCTGACCTTGAACTCAGAAATTTACCTGCCTCTGCCTCCCACTCTGCAGGGATTAAAGGCATGCACCTCCACCACCTGGCTTTAGCTGCTAAGTTAAAGGCAAAAGCAAAACCAAATCAATGTTTGCCGATTTTATATAAAGCTGCGTGTACAACACTCACAGCTTCCTTAGCAAAATGAAATAATTCCAGTGATTTTCACATCAACTCTCAATTAGATCTGTACCACTGTAATGTTGTGTATGAATCTTAGATCTCACATCTTAAAAGCACTGAAAGGGAGGGGTTGGAGATAGTTCTGAGGTCAGAAGCACTTGCTACTCCAGAGCACTTCAAGTTTGTTTCTCATCACCAATTTTGGGCCCCTCACAACTGCCTAGAAAGCCAGTCCAGAGGATTCCATGCCCTCTTCAGGTCTTCACTTTCCTGCACACACATGGCACATACACAGATAACCCACCCCCACACACATATACATAAAATCTAAAAGATTAAATTAAGTTAAAATTAAAGTCTTATCCTGCCCACCTTAGTTTGATCTCTGGGAGGCACCTGGGCAAAGAGAAACTATTTTTCCAGCTTGTTCTCTAACTCCACATGCGCATCATGGCATGAATGCAAACACACACTGCTATAAACCTAAGAGGAGCAGCCTCACACTTACCAGGTGGGCCATGATGCTCAGCTTGTGCAGCGAGGGCTGCCGGTTGAACAACACCACGTCTCCATCTATTAAGTGTCTTTCCACGATGTCACCAAACTTGAGCTCCTGGGCCATCTTTTCTCGGTTTCCGTACTTCAGAAACCTGAGCATGCAGGACACACATAAGGTCTCCGAAGTTCTCTCACCATGCTTCCCGCACTCAGAGCAGAAACTGATGTCTAAGACACTACCAGCTTACTGACTTATGTGAGTCAAGGTCTTCTCATGTAGCCTAGGCTGACCTGGAACTTGGGAACCTCCTGCACTGACCTTCCAAATGCTGGGACTACAGACATGTGCCAATTTCTCCTTCCTTCCTTCCTTCCTTCCTTCCTTCCTTCCTTCCTTCCTTCCTTCCTTC